TCATCTACAATCAGGCATATCGGGATCTTGTCGTAAAATGCAAGGGCTACACCATCTGGGACGCATTTGCCATCACGAATCTGCTCTTTCACAAAACCGTGTCCGAGCACGTTATCCAGTAGAGAAACAAGATTTGACCTGCGGTCATCTTCTTTGGAATAAATGGTTGCAAATTCAGCCATGAGAGTCGGAGTGGCACGGAGTATGTCATTGGGCACTTCGTATGTAGGGTCGAACGCTTTACTTGAGAAGAACGCAAATGCCGGGTTGAATAACTGGATTGGTGGAGCAGTTGTGTCAGCCGGTTTGCTTTGAGCGTAGCGTCCATCGTATATTTTGCGAGGCCCACCCTGGATTGCGCAATATTGATTGGATTCAGCAGCTTCTGAAGGAAGGGGACAGTCGGATCCTAATTTGAGGGTGTTTTGAAACTCTTTGAGTGGAATATATTTGAGTGGCTCAACCTCGAAAACTAGTTGGTGTAACCTCACCTGTGTTGAGCCGGGCTAGGATGTCAGTTGGGTCTTCCACAACCTCACCTCGAGTGACTGTAGGAAGTCGCACGACGATATGAATATACCTGCGCTCCACTCCATCTGGGAACGCTTCTGACATCTCGGTTAACGCGTCCTCCAACTCCACGCCACCCTTGATACCGCTCTCGATCCCGATCGTGTCGAGCAAGTGCGAGTCTTTTCTGTCGATTTTAACCTTACAAAGCATCAGATTTTCAGCACCAGATCACGGGAATCAATCTCTCACCTACCATATCTCGAGATCGTCAGCATCAACAAAATCAAACCGATTCTTCTTCTGGTCCTTGATAGCGACTCTCAAATGGCCCACGGTCTTTGTGCTCTCGATGTCGATAGGAAAGACATGCTTTGGGCCATCCCCAAGGATCCAACAATTGAGCTCGAGTGTGTGTGACATGAACCTTGGAACAGCTGTACGAAGTCTAGAGAAGACTCAGCGGAAGTTAATAGAACAACGCTGAGGTGGGAAAAGACACGAAGCAGGTACATATGAGTCTATGGAGGATCTGTGGCTGAGTGGCGAAGGTGCTATATAGTACATAGCAAGAAGAAAGAGAAATAACATATCTAGAATGTGCTTAGTTTGTGGGCGACGCGTCCACCTCGCGGACCACACCGGTGGCACTGCTCGCTTAGCTAAGCTCCCTGGACCGTCAATTTCCTGCTGCTCAGTCCCACTCATTGTCCAAGCTTGTAGGCTAGTTGTAGCTGTTCAAAGTGGCAGGATAAAACACTTCCAGACACTTGAGTTCTACCTCCGCTTGAAAGCTTACGGCTCCTTTCATACCAATGGACTAGATTTCATTGTTTCTTACCGCTTCTATTTACTTGCGGAGCCGCCAGACAAACAAGAGGGTCCCGATACCTTGGTCGAGAAAAACAACCTTGAACGCGAGAGTCTGATCATGCTGCGGAACTCTTAGGCTATTAGCTATCCGGGCTCACACACGCTACTTCTACTTTCTAGTCTCCTTACTTTCGGTCCAGATGGTGAGTATATGCACGTATATATCTCGATCGGTACTTTACTCTGACGATCGTGCTGAGCAGGATGGGCTCAAACAGACAAACTCGATGGACAATCTGCAGTCGCATGGGTGGAACACTACGACAGTGCTACTGCGATCAACATATGTACAGTGGATCCCATTCCAGGATATCGCGGTCCATGTCACTAAAATTCAGCTCCGATTCTCTAATCCTCTACTGACCGCTCAGCACACCTTCATCTCTTTACCGTGCTCGTTGCTCATTCATGATAGAAGCATACTAGTACAGTCGAATCACGAGTCCGCGCGATTTACTTCTGTTCCTTCTCCGTGGCCCAGATGGATGAAAACGTATCTAAGCGCAAATGAGTTATAGCCATCTCGTCTGAGTGCTCAGACAGCGGAGCTCCGACACCACGTGGAATCAGCTGTCTGGGCATCAAGAACTGGTTTGGTGGCTAGTCATTCCAGATGATTTCAGCTCGCCACTGAGTGCAAGTGTGAGTGGGCGCTTCACCGACTTCCAGTAGTGACAACAAGAGAGAGGTTTGACTAGACCTTTCAAATATATTTCGAGACACCATAACAATGAAAACCATGACAGATCCTTGATCAAATCTCTCCTTTCTATAGAACACTCGACAAGCTTTTTCCTACACAGTACTGCTAGTTGTTATATGCACATGCTTCTGGAAGACAACTGAATTCATGCTAGTTTCGGCGTCGGATTCGGCCACGAGTTTGGCGTGATATTCTCGAACACTAAGGATGAGGCGTGGTCCCAGAACAAACATCTGCACGCCAAATAATATCTGGCAAGTGCAATAGAGAACTATAGCATCTATAGAATATAAATTCTACAAAAATGATGAGCAGTGGTTACAAATAGATGTCACCGAAAGGTGGGCGCACCACTACGATCTCCGGAGAGACATAAACAAGCTGGAGGCAAGAGACACAAACAAAGCTAATACGTGAGGAATTTTAGCGGAACAAGATAACCACATTCACATTATCAGCTCACCTTACAAAATAAAGTACGTGAGATTTTATCAGCACTCTGAAACAGTCCCCGACAATCGATCCTGTTGATAGGCCGAATCGTCTCAGCTCAAGGAAGTGTTTCACAACAATCCAGAGTGAAAGACACAGTGCGAGGACCTCCCAAACAGTATTGAGCATCCAAAGCATTGAAATAAGAAGCTGGGCATCCCCCTCAAACCCATAATTGCACATATGTGTGCCAGAGAGTATCAGCTCCTCTGGTGTTCGTCCAATGAGTTGTATTCTTCAAGTCAACAAGTAAAGCTTACCCGTTACAATATATTTGAGTGCTATTGCCATGAGTACTCCGCAGCCGATGTTCATAGCTAGGAAGATAATAACAAGGAAGATAAGCATTATTCTAGATCCCTGATACATGGCATGCAAGCGAGCAATCATGATGACTTGTCTCAGTTAAGTCAATATCACGAAATTATTGCAGCTAGGCAACTCACCGCCCAACATAGCAGGTACGATCACATTTGTCCCATTCAGTGCGTAGCCCGTAATAGTGCCTGAAACACCCAATTAGCGATCACCCTCGTACTAAGATAAAACACTCAGACTTACACCTATCGAGTCGTTATGTTGAACCAAGTTCAATGGTTAGAATATCACTCACCCCTAAAAATGAATGTATTGATTGGATGAGAATGGGATGGTTGCAGAATACTCACTGCATCTGTGAGCGAGACCATTGGCATATACGCTGCCAGTGCGTGTCGCCGGTCAGAAGAATTGCACAGTGCATAAGAGACTTACGCAGAATGCTGACACTGATGATGAGAGATGGGCTATTAGCACAGCGCCAAAAAAAATCGTTGGCCTCAAAAACATACATAGAATACGGTAGTCCAATATAACGTATCTAGAACATTTCGGGATCAGCACAACTGCTAATCACCCCATAGTATAACATGGGGTACGAACAATCAGATACAGCACAGTCAAGCAAGACCAGCGTTGTCTCTGTCGCGAATTCATCGTATTCTTTTTTCTTCTGATGCGAGACTCTGACACTCACCCAGATTAGTTCGATCTATGCAATCGTTCTTAGTGAGTTGGCTGCTCGGACAATAGCACCGACCTACCTCTTGTCCGAGTGTTAATGCTGAAAATATCATGAGAATACCAACGGTTTTCGAATACTGTCCTACTCACCCCAATCGTATAACACTACAACGCCTGCGGCAACTGCGAAACCACAAGTCGATGTTAGATCGAAAGATTCGAGACATCATAAACTGATACGACGAACCAATCCAATAGCTATTAAAAATATTCAAATTGATCATGGGCCACCAACTAGGATCATTTGAGACCAGGGTCATATTCGAGGGGTGGGCGTGAGTGAGCGGGGGATATTGGGAGTTATAATGATTCAATGTTCGTGTTAGATATACCAACGTTCGGGCCGCCTATTTGTACCGCCGAGATCTGCATGATGCATGTACTGGTGATGCCACGCGTATATCGTTAATTTTTACGTTTTCCAGAACGTTCTCTTACTGGTGCTGGCATTTTACTACCACCCCTCACGAAATCTCACCTAGTGCCATCATGATATGGCTTCACCAGGGAATACCATACTATGCGTTGCAGCGTCATTCGCACCCACTAGTAGTTGCGGATGTAGGGAACTACGCCAAACACCTATGCATATGCGAATGCCCTCTATTGATAGACTTGTGATCTGACTATATGTTATGTATGTGTTTTGAGAGCGGGGAAGTTTAATCAATGCTGTGCTTGAACTGGTCGATCTCTGAGTCGGGGGCGAAGCACGGAGTTTGAAAATATGCAGGTACCATTTGTGCCGGATGTTGTCGTACTAGCACAGGCATTGCGAAAGGCACCAGCCGTTCTGCTTATTGCCACGCCGTGAGTGAGAACAGAACTGTTCTCCTCGCTGATGCATCACGCGCACGAATCATTGCCATTATTTTTGATGCTACTACGCATCGCACCCTATCCGTTATACTTCTCACACTTTCATTTTCACAAATATGATTTCACCATTCGCCTGAGTCCAGTCCAGATGTCACTTTAGTTGTGTCCTGCGAACCAGAGCCACTGTCTTGTCAACCATCTGGGCTTCTACTCACTTCCTTCGTTATATTCAGATGTATGATGGATTTCGAATGGATTGATGAAATCCTTGGGGCTATCAGCTCAGACACGCTGCTTTTACTTCCCTGGTCCACGGAACCTTTGCATTGCGCCCCACGTGTCCGGCCCAGATAGATGATTGCACAATTTTGTTGTGCTCAGACGACTGGCGCCTTAGTGATACTTTGTCAAGTGCGCTTTACTCCCCGCTCAGCACAGCCCATTTCCTTGCCATGCGCATCCAAGATAGAAGCGAATACTCAAGCCGTAAGTTTTTTAATCACCATAATACTCCGTATCGTTGAATCGTGCTCGAAACCAGACGATTGTTGTTGAAGACATATCTATCTAACAGTGGTCAGCGATGCATTGGTTCAATCAGATCATCGGCGCCCAATCAGTTAACTAGTGGTCTCCTGGACATCAACAGCCTTTTCCCTTCACGCATGATTTCGCACTACTTCTCTACTGCACAGACGAATTATAATGAAGACGTCCGAGCATTCTAGCGGATCTGATGCATCATCAACTATCTGTGGTTTCATGGCTTGCTTAAGTCGCTTCTTCCTTTGCTTTACTCTGGCACGTGACAGTGCGATCAGATACAAGTACGCATGTGAAAATATCGTGGTCGGCGCTTTCCTGATACTTTTTCAGGTCGGCTTGATGCCCTCGGACTTGAAGCTCTCATCTCTTTGCCACGCGCATTCATTCGTGACAGATGCATACACTGACCCCATAAGTGCCTTTTTTAAATTTTCATGCTCGATATTGTTGAACCATGCCTGCACAGTGCTTCCTTCCACTCTTGACCTACGATTCTGTACTACTTCTCTCCTGTCCAGATGGATGAAATGGGGGCACGTGTCTGGCCGGTTACGCTTATATCTATGACCCTCAGACATTCAACAGTAAGGGCCTGACTCACAAGCACCTTCGAAGGTGGACAGCGTGGAGAGGGACAATCAGCGATGAATCAATTCAGGGACTACATTGGCTATTCTAATGACTTCTCAGGCACAACTCTGTCGTATGGCGCCGCTGAGAGAAGGCGAGAGTCAATATACTGCAGAACCCTTGTACTATCAACTGTCTGAGCTCAGACACGCTACTTCTACTTTCCATTCGTTCGGTCCGGATGATGGATACATGTATGTATGTATCTCGATCGGTATGACGGTTGTGGTAGCTCTAATATATCACTGCAAGGATACAAACCCGACGTACAATCTGCAGTCGCATAGGCGGAACGCTACGATGGCGCGACTCCGATCAACGTACTTATGCATGCGATTTCAGAATATTGTGGTCGATGCCTAATCAATAATTTACAGGTGCGCTTGAGGCTTGAAGCTCTGGTTCTCTCCGCACCCCATCTCCTTGCCATACTCATTTGTGATAGAGGCATACAGTCAAGCCATGAAACCGCGTGATTCATTCCTTTTCCTAAAACGCATCTGAGCATCAGTGAGTTATCAGCCATCTGGGCTTTACGCATCGCGGTCACTTCCTCGTCATCTGTATGCTCAAGCAGCGGAGAATGAGTTGTCCGAGCATCAAGGACTGGATTGGTTGCTAGATGTTCCGGATAATGGGCAGGCGGGTCACCGACTTCCGGTAGTGCCACAAGAAATGGGTTTGTCTATATCAAATTCGTCTTAAATATGCTTCAAAGCACTATAATGTAAATACTACGACGGATCCTCCACCGAATATCTCCTCCCTGCAAACAACTCGGCAAGCATTTCCCTACACAGTACTACTAGTTGATATATGTACACGCTCCTGGAATACAATTGGATTTATGCTAGCTTCTGCGTCGTATTCGGCCATGAGGTTGGCGTGATATTCTCGAACACTAAGGACGAGGCGTGGTCCCAGCACAAACAACTGCACGCCGAAGACGAATTCACGAATACCACCGAGGATTTGAGTTCCAATAAAATATGGATTCTACAAAGATGGTGAGCGGCGGTTACAAGCGGATGTCAACGACAGGTCAGCACACCTGCAACTCTGGAGAGAGAGTAACAAACTGGATGCACGAGACACAGACAAAGCTGGTATGCGTGGAACTTCAGAAGAGAAGATAACCACATTCACATTACAATCTCACCTTGCAAAATAAAGCACGTGAGATTTCATCAGCACTCTGAAACAGTCCCCGATAATCGATCTCGATAGACCGAGTCGTCGCAGGTCATGGAAATGTTTCACAGCAATCCGGACTGAAAGACACAAAGCGAGGACCTCCCAAACGGTGTAGAGCATCCAAAGCATTGAAATCAGAAGCTGGGCATTCCCCTTATATTCGTAATCGCACATATATGTGCCAGAGAGTATCAGGACCTCTGGTGTTTGTCCAATGAGCTGTAGTCTTCAAGTTAACGAGTAAATCTTACCTGCTACAATATACTTGAGTACTACTGCCATGAGTACTCCACAGGCGATATTTACAGCCAGGAAGAAAATGACAAGGAAGGTAAGCATCATTCTAGATCCCTGATACATGGCATGTAACCGAGCAATCATGACGACTTGCACCATGTTTCAGTCGAGTCCATATGACTGAGGTATTGCAATTGGGTAACTCACCGCCCAACATGGCAGGTACGATCACACTGGCCACATTTATTGTGGAGTACGTGATATTGCCTAAAACACTCAATTAGCGAACCTCTACGGTACTAGCATCAAACGCTCGAACTCACACCTATCAAGTCATTATGTTGAGCCAAATTGAATGGTCGGAATCTCACTCACCCCTATAATTGAGTGGATCCATTATTCGTTGCATGAGAATGAGATAAGTTGAGGAACACTCACTACATCTGTCTTCGAGACCAATGGCATATGTGCTGTGTGCCACCGGTCAGAAGAATCGAACATGGTGCATATGAGACATACCCAGAATGTTGCCACTGATGACGAGATAGGCTATTAGTATAGCGCCAACTTGTTGGCTTTAGAAACATACACAGAATATGGTATTCCGACATAGCGTATCTAGAACATTTTGGAGTCAGCATAACTTGCCAACCACGCTATAGTATAACACGAGGTACGAACAACCAGGTATAGCACAGTCATGAAAGACCAGCGTTGCATCTGTCGCAAGTTTATTGTATTTTCTTGTTTTTCTTCTGATATGGGACTTTGTCACTCACCCAGATTAGTTCAATCTATGACACCGTTCTTAGCGAGTTAGCTGCTCAGGCGATAACATTGACCTACCTCTTGTCCAAGTGTCAGCACTGAAAATATTATGAGAATATCAAGGTTTTAGAAAGCTGTCCTGCTCACCGCAATCGTATACCACCGCGACACCTATTGCGACTGTGAAACCGCAAGTCGACGTTAGATCGAGACATTATCAACTGATATGACAAACCTAAGAAATAGCTTGAAGAAATATTTGAATTGATTATCGGCCACGAACTGGGGTCATTTGAGACCAGGGTCATATTCGAGGGAAGGGTTTGAGCGGGTGAGAGATGTTGGGGGTTCTAACGATGTAGTGTTTGTGCTAGTGTACACTGCTGTTCAAACGTTCACCGCTTGTATCGCCAAAATTGGCATACCCACCTCCGAGTTGGAGTCAATGGGACCCTTGATTGGTTTGAAGTCACGATTGTGATGCGACATCAAGCAAAAATGGAAGTCCTAGGTATTACTATCAATTGAATGAAAGTATATTTTTATTTCCAACCAATACCAATCTACCGGTCAAATAAGATTCTGCTGGTGGATGTGAACATTAACGAGTAAATATTGTTGGGTGCAAATGTTTGTCACCACTGAAGCTTGAAGTACTGAACCGAGAGTCCCAGACTAGTCGAACAAAGATAAATTTGAAATTTATAGCCAGTCACGTGATGCCGCTTGGGCTGTCGCCGTGACTTGTCATCGTTCCTTCGAATCCTTCCCATGTACCGGCCTCAAGCACATGGCTGGAGTGAACAAAGAAAGTCATTCCAGTAGTCTTCATTCCATCAGTTATGTCCCGCCCAATCTCGCGAAGTTGCAAACAATGATCGTCTGGACTCTGCACCAAAGTAGTCTTTATATATGGTGGTATGACTTGGATGACCGATAACGCCATGGTTTTGAAGAAGTATTTTTCAGCAAGGCCATGGCATCACCAATCATCTGATCTTGTACAACCACTCTCACGTTTCTTCATGTTTCCTTGGACAGATGATTCCCAAGTATTTCGTGAGCTCGTCGAATTTCTGGTCTGTCAGCTGTCTGGGCTTACACATGCTACTACTCATGCACCCCAGCAGATAATCACGTAAAGTAATGGATCGTCTTTTGACTGATTGATCGATCATCTGCTAGCCCAAGGGTCGATGTCAATGATGGCTATATGTATGTACGTATCTCGTTCGGTGCTTTAGCACGATCGGTTTCAACAGCTCTCAGAAGAACGCAAACCTGACACACAATTTGCAGTCGCATGTGTGCAAGTTGCAACGCTACGATGGCACGACTCTGATAATGTATCTACAAATGAAATTCCGATGCCTCATTATTAGTTTGAGAGGTATACTTGAAGTTTTCTGAATTGAAGCTTCCGTTCTCTAATTCTCTATTCCCTTCTCAGCACGTCTCGACTTCTTTCCATGCTCATTCGTGATAGAGACATACAATCGAGTCATGAATCCACGCGATTCTTCCATTTTCTTTCTCCATGGCCCAGATGGATTAAAACGCATTTCAGACTCGTTACCTATCGGCCATCTCGGCTTTATGCTTCGCGAACACCTCATCATCTGTGTCCTGACACAGTGGAACTCCGCAAACGCATAGAATCAGCTGTCTGGACAATCTATACCCATTCTCGTGGTATTTCAATACTGGAAATAAAGGACTGGATGCGTCTCCATCGATAGTACCTGCAGGAATAGCCGTTCTCTGAAACATTCTGCGTGCAATATATAACTATATCACCGGTCACCGGCACCCACCCTCACTGGTCGTTGCAACTCACGTGCGAGATATCACGGTACCCTTCGACGTTCCTGCAAAATATCTTCGAATTTCTCCGTTTCCCACATTCTATCAGATACTTCATTCAAGTGATCATTTGCTTGCCCCAGGACTGTGATCCATGTCAATGGGTGTATGTCTGTGTGGATGCATGTCTGTAACTCGTTCGGTGCTTTACTCTGATAGTCGTGCTTAGCGAGGGCTCCGACAGAATATCGCAGTCGATGCCTCATCAGTAGTTTGATAGGTACGCTTGAGGCCTTCTGACATTTTCTGATTCTCCACTCATCACTCAGCAGACCCCATATCCTTGTCATGCTCATTCGCGAGAGAGACGTATAGTCGAGCCACTAGTCTACGCGATTCATTCATTTCATTCTCCGTAGCCCATCGGATGGAGGAAATCGCATCTGAGCACCGATGAGTTACTGGCTTCACGCCTCGCAGTCCCTTCATCGTCTATATATTCACAGTGAAAATCCATAAATGCGCAAATGTCAGGGCTCTTTCACGGATTTTCGTCGTTGTATTTTAACATTGGCTATCAATGACCAGTTTGGTTGCCGGACGTTCCGGATAATTTCCCCTTACCACTTAGTTCAAGCGCGGGTGCTTCGTCCCAGTAGTGATACAACAAGAAATAGATTTGCCTGGACCTTTTAAGTATACTTCGAAACCCTATATGCTAAATAAATACCACGACGGATCCTCCACCGAATTTCTCCTCCCTGCAGACCACTTGGCAAGCATGTCCTTACATAGTACTGCTAGTTGATGGCATGTACATGCTCTTGGAAAACAATCGAATCCATGCTAGTTTCCGCGTCAAAGTATGCCACGAATTTGGCGTGGTATTCTCGAACGCCAAGGATGAGGCGTGGTCCCAGCACAAACATTTGCACGACCAATAAAATTTGAAGAGTACCATTGAGTACCTGAGCTCCAATAGAATTGGAATTCTACAGAAATGATGAGCAGTGGTTACACGCAGATGTTGGCAACAGGTCGGCGCACCGCGATTTCTGGAGAGAGATAAGTAAACTGAAGGCCAGAGACACCAGCAAAGCTAACATGTGCGGAGCTTCAGCAGAAAAATATAATCACGTTCACATTGCAAGCTCACCTTGCAAAATAAAGAACGTGAGATTGTATGAGCACTCTGAAACAGTCTCCGATGGTCGATCCTGTCGATGGGCCGAATTGTCGCAGCTCACGGAAGTGTTTCACAGCAACCCAGACTGAAAGGCACAGTGCGAGGACCTCCCAAGCAGTGTTGAGCATCCAAACCATTGAATACAGAAGCTGGTTGTTCCCTTCGGATACATAACCGCACATATATGTGCCAGAGAGTATGAACTTCTCTGGTGTTTGTCCAATGAGCTGTGTTCGTCAAGTTAATAAGTAAAACTGACCCACTGCAGCATCCTTGAGGTCTATTGCTGCGATTACTCCGCAGGCGATGTTTACAGCCAGGAAGATAATAACTAGGAACATAAGCATCGCTCTAGATCCCTGATACATGGCATGCAACCGAGCAATCATGACGACTTGCATCGTGTGTCAGTCAGGTCCATATCACAGAGGTATTGCACCTGGGTCACTTACCGCCCAACATGGCAGCCATGGCCACATTTATACCATTTAGTGCGTAGTACGTTATATTGCCTAAAACTTGCAATTAGTGAACACCTTCGCACTAGTATCAAAGACTCCGACTTACACCTATTGAGTCATTATGTTGAGCCAATTCAATGGGCGTAATTTCACCCACCCCTACATATGAGCGTATTGATTGGATACGAATGAGATAATTGCGGAATACTTACTGCATCTGTCAGCGATACCGATGGCACATATTCTGTGTCCCGCCGGTCAGAAAAATGGCACACAGCGCATATGAGACATACGCAGAATATTGACACTAGTTGTCAGAGATGAGCTATTAGCACAGTGCAAAGTTGTTGATCTCGACACATACATAGAATACGGTATTCCAATATAGCGTATCTAGAACATTTTGGAGTCAGCACTAGTTGGCCGCCACGCTAAAGCACAACATGAGGTACGAACAATCAAATACAGCGTGGTCATGAGAGACCAGCGTTGTCTCTGTTGCGAATTCATTGCATGCTCTTGATTTCTTCTGATACGGGACTCTTGTCACTCACCCAGATGAGTTCAATCTATGACACCATTCTTAGCGAGTTGGCTGCTCTGGCGATAACACCGACGTACCTCTTGTCCGAGTGTTAAGACTGGAAATATCATGAGAATATCAGCGATTTTCGAACGCTGTCCTGCCCACCCCAATCGTATACCACCACGACGCCCGCGGCAACTGCGAAACTGCATGTCAACGTTAGATCTAGACATCCTGATGGGACAAACCTGTCCAATAGCTGAGAAAAATATTGAAATCGATTGTCGGCCACCAACTGGGATCATTTGAGACGTAGGTCATGTTCGAGGGATGAGTGAGCGAGTGGGGAATGTCAGTGGCGTATGACGATAGCGTTCGTGCTACATATACCACCATGTATATATGTATGGCCTAAATCAGCATCGTGGAGATCGGATCTTTGATCCCGCCTCAATGTTGGCGCTTACCTATGACGCAGCTGATGACGCGACGCACCTCAGGCAGCACTTCTCGGTGCCTCACGTGATGCTGTTTTGTTGAATTTCATTGTAGAACTCTGCACATTATCCAACGAAGTACCGGCCTCATGCACATGGCTGGAGTGAACAAAGAAAGTCAGTCCAGTAGTTTTCATTCCATCAGTTATGTCCTACCCAACCTCGTGAAGTTGCAAACAATCTTCTGCACCAAAGTACTAGTCTTTATGGTGGTATGAATCGAAGGTGATGTAGGTTTAGAAGATGCCACCAAATATTAGAGCGAGAATAATTTGAGAATGATACTACTTTTGATCTGCCAAAGAATGATTAATGAGTTTGAGGGGGTAAATTGTGCCAGCTTGTTTATGAGGCCCCTCCCCATAGGCGTGTAATATATGAAAACATTACCCTCCCACTGAACCATCGACAAACAGTCATGCATATGCGACGTCTGACGAGCTGGGCTCTAGAGCACGCAACTGTTCAAGTTGCTCTACAAAAACGACGTGCCGCCTGCCATTTCGTTAACGTACTTTGTCTCCATCGATACCTAAAATCATCAATTGGTCATACTCGCTCCTCATGATCATCCTACATCGATTCGTTCAGAAAAACGGTCGTTCCAATTTCGAACAAGTACTAGGGATTTTTCAGTGGAGTTGTTATTGCTGGCGCCGTATCTTTGACGAGTTTGGTTCTGTCACGAAGCCCCTCCTCCACTCATCGGTCGTACTCTAATAATCGTTCTAGCACACCTGATAGCTGTCGAAGATCACTTCAGCGAAAACCTTATCATTTCCTCACGGGCATTCGAGTACCTTGTCCAGAAGGTCTAGTTTCTTTCCTGCAGGGAGCTTGATGGTAAGCTTCTTGGAGACGGTTCGTTTCTTCTTCGCCATCGATATACTCTTACGAGGATGTGGAATAATCGTAGGTGAAAAGACTTAGATAAGTATTATGTATAATTGCTGGAAGTCGAAGCGGCGACGCTGATTTCCTTTTTGGTTGCGTGCGTGCGAAAAAACTGCCAGTGACAGCGTTTCCCCCGCCTCTTTCATATCATGTTTGGCGCGCGAATACTTATTGGTTCATCGTTCTCAGTATCGTGCGTCTTCAGCATCCTGCCTTAAAACGGTCAGTTCATCCTCTGGACTATGGGCATAAACAGCAGTGCTTTTGGTGCCTTACAGCCGGCGACCAACGCACTTCAGCAAACAAATCTCCGTGCGCCTGCAGCCACAGCGAGATTGGCCCTGCCAGGTCTCACAGTCACCTACCCTATCACTACGCTATATCCTCGCCCCTGACTGTCTATTCGTTGTGTCGATCGTACTGTGGTTCGGTGTTTACAAGCTGTTTCTTTGTAAAGCACAGTCGCCACTTCGTGCTTGTAACGACAACACAACCCACAACCATCAAAGCATCTTCTCTGAACTTCCATCATATATTCGTTTCATCATGTCTCATGTGCGCATATTCTACGACCCCTTCGACAAGTTATTTTCGATGTTTCCATTTCTGTTTCCCTTCTACCATCGTCGATGGCAATTCTAAAGCCTTGATTCATCGCCATGATTTAGAGTTGCCACAGGCAAGTATATCACAGCTTTCATTTATTTAACCCTGAATAGCACTAATCTATGCCAACACAGGATGGACCTACACAGGAGCTCCGAAGCCGAGACAGCAGCCGCGACAGTCGAGCTTCTCTATTTTGAACAACAAGATATCAATGTCAAAGCCATGGGAACCGCCTAACAATATCTGGGCATTTGAAGCGCTCGGATAACCACAAAGAGGGTGAATATCCGATGGAGGAACGTTCATATGGCAAGTCCTCTGGGTCACGGCGATTGCATCGTCCAGGTTGAGGATTTCCGTGCAAAGATGGAGAATAGAATGGTGCCGTGCGCTTCATCGCGTAAAGATGCGATGTCATCTGCATGTTGCGACATGTGACTGTTTCGGATTTGTATCGTTGTCATTCTGTCGAGGTGGAATTAGGATTATACAGCAACGGTATGTCTGTAAGACGGCTGTGCGTGTGCGAGCATCAGACCACGATGCGACTTTCATAGCCTGTCCATGAAATTACTGAGCATGATGAAGGTCCGACAATGACATTCTTTGCTCATGCAACATTGCCGGCTTCTACTCAAGTCGGCACTGCAAAACACAATGACCACTGATACGAGGCTGTGCAATTAAAAATCAGGTTCCACGTGCGATTTCTCTTTATGGTGTCTTATATTTACCAAGCGTCAATCATACAGCATGAGTCAAGATGTATCCGCCAGTGCAATACATCACCATCGCATTAAGTGCACGATCGGATCCACCGAATAGAGCGCGCTGCTGTGTTTTTTCTCTGACTTTTGTCATACTACAGAACGCAAACTTGTTACAGAAAGCAATCAGGGGAACTGATAGCAAGTCTCGAACTTGGTCAGTGAAGTCAAGAGAACGCAGATTCTTCTTGCAATCACACCAAGCTTATACCTGTTTTAGATGGATCCGGATGGCCACATGGTTTCAACAAAAATGGCATTGGAAATAAGTTTCCGGCATCACCAACCAACGACTGGAACTTTTCTGGTCACCGGTCCAATACGGTAGTCGCATACATAATACTGGTTTGTAAATCAAATTCTACTTTGATTATCTCTTTTGCTTGATTTCGCACCGTTTCGAAACTCAACCAAGGCTCTCGAGGCAGGATCAAATATCCATCTCCATTATGCTGATTTTGGTGATAGAAGCGCTGAGCGGTGGTATATCTAGCACGAACGTTGTCGTTATACACTACCAATATTCCCTACTCGCTCACACCCATCCCTCGAACATGACCGTAATTTCAAATGACCCTAGTTGGTGGCCGACAATCAATTCAAATTTTTTATTCAGCTATTGGATGGGTTCGTCGCATCAAGATGTCTAGATCTAACATTGACTTGCGGTTTCGCAGTTGCCGCCGGCGTCGTGGTGATATATGATTGGAGTGAGCAGGCCAGTGTTTGAAAATCGCTCATATTTTCATGATATTTCTAGTCTTAACACTCGGACAAGAGGTAGGTCGATGTTTTTCCCTGAGCAGCCAATTCGCTAAAAATAGTGTTATAGATTGAACTAATCTGGGTGAGCAACAGAGTCCCATATCAGAATAATACAATGAATTCGCGACAGAGGCAACGTTGGTCTCTTATGACCGTGCTGTATTTGGTTGTTCGTATTTCATGTTGTGCTATAACATGGCTGGCGGTTGTGCTGACTCCAAATTAGATACGTTATTTTGGAATACCGTATTCTGTGTATGTGCCGAGACCAATAACTTCGGACTGTACTAATCACTCATATCTGTCAACTAGTGCCAATATTCTTGGTATGTCTCTATGTGCTGTGTTCGATTCGTCTCACCGGCGGCACACACTGGCAGCATACATGCCACGGGTCTCGCTGACAGATGTAGTAAGCATTCCACAACCATCTTATTCACATCCAATGAATACACTCATTTGCAGGGGTGAGTGAGACTCTTAACGGTTGAGCTTGGCTCAACATAATTACTCAATAGGTGTAAGTCGGAGTGTTTCATCTTAGTACGAGGGTGATCACTAATTGGGTGTTTCAGGCAATATTACGGACTATGCACAGAATGAGACAAATGTGGTCGTAGTTGCCATGTTGGGCGGTGAGTTACCTAGCTGAAATACCTCTGTGATATTGATTCTACTGAAACCTGATGCAAGTCATCATGATTGCTCGCTTATATGCTATGTATCAGGGATCTAGAATGTTGCTTATCTTCCTTGTTATCATCTTTCTGGCTGTTAACATCACTTGCGGAGTAATCGCGACAATAGGACTCAAGTACGTTGCAGGGGGTGAGCTTCACTTGTTGAGTTTAAGAACACAACTCATTGGACGGATACCAGAGGAGCTGATACTCTCTGGCACGTATACGTGCAATTATGGAATTGAAGGGGACGACCAGCTTTTTATTTCAATGGTTTGGATGCTCAACACTGTTTGGGAGGTCCTCGCACTGTGTCTTTCAGTTTGTGCTGCTGTGAAACACTTCCGTGAATTGCGACGACTGGGCCCATCGACAGGATCGACCATCGGGGACTGTTTTAGAGTGCTGATACAATCTCACGTTCTTTATTTTGCAAGGTGAGCTTGTAGCATGAAGACGGTTATAATGTTCTGCTCAAGTTCTGCACCTGTTAGCTTTGTTGGTGTCTCTTGCCTCCAGCTTGCTTATCTCTCTCCAAAAATCTTGGTGCGTCAACCTGTTACCTACATTTGTGTGTAAACCTTGCTCATCATTTCTGTAGAATTCAAATTCTATTGGAACCCAGATATTTGAAGGTGCTCTTCAAATTTTATCGGTTGTGCAGATGTTTGTGCTGGGACCACGCCTCATCCTTAGTGTTCGAGAATATCACGCCAAACTTATAGCCGAATCCGACGCAGAAACTAGCATGAATTCGGTTGTCTTCCAGGAGCGTGTACAAGTATCAACTAGCGTCACTTTGTAGGGAAATGCTTGCCAAGTGTTCTGCAGAGAGGATAAATTCGGTGGAGGATTCGTATTTAACACATGGTGTTTCAAAGCGTATTGGAAAGTTTTATGCAAACATATTTCTTGTCGTATCACTACCGGCGGAACGAAGTACTCGCGCTTGAACCAAGTGGCAAACTAAATTATCCGGAATGACTAGCAACTCACTTGCAGCTTAATGGCAAATATTAAAATACAACAAACGAGAATCAGTGAAAATGTCCTGACAATTGATGCTGCATGTTTGCGGAGTTCCGCTGTCCGAACATAGTACTCGGAGTCCATCCACAGATATGGTAATTTTCGACAGTTTCCCGACCCAAAGTGGCGACAGAGCTCACAGATCTAACGTACAGCCCCAGACCTTCATGATAGGACAGTGTCTCACAGCAGCCCAAAGCCATGACAGAGCTCACAGAATAGACAATCCCAGAGTCCTAGTGTTACCGTAGCTCCGATTTATGGCCGGCTATAGCCGAGGCTGGTTAACCAAGCCACCGAACGAGATGCAGACATGCATGCATAACTTTGTGGGGGCTATCGTGCAGCAGTTTCGGTGAGAGCGTGAGAGAGAATGTTTGCATTGACTGGATGCAGATGGTTATTTGGGCGGAGCCCCGAGAGGGGCACCCGGCCGCGATAGCGGCCCAAACCTGTGCAAGAGTGAGCCGAGGTGAGCTGCAAATCCGAAGAAAGTAGGAGTGAATGCGACGCAGCGAAGTGAGCCTCGGATCCCCACAGTCGTAGAAGCTGCAGAGTGACGCAATGAGGTGAGGAAACAAGGAGCATGATGATAGAAAAGTTAGCTCAGCAAGAGGTAGTTAGCACGAGGCGGCTTGGTGAGAGGTAGCAGGTAAGAGGTAGCATGGCGGCATCGCCAAAGTGGAAGCATGGCAAAGTGAAAGCGCGGCAGCATTGCCGAAGAGGAAGCGAGGCATCCGCATAAGCAAATGCGGGCAAAAGCAATATTGGGAGGGCAAAGGCAGTACTTAGGGATAGCTCACCACATGAAATTAGCTAGGTGGAAGTTACCTCCCTTTATCAGGTTTTCTGCCTCAGCGGACTGAGAAAACCCGATGAGAGTTTGCAGTTGCAAACTTCCTGCATGGGTAAACATGAGAGAGCGGTGCCGGAGCACCCTGTGAAGCTCCCGACCCATGGCCAGCTTCCCCGCCGGACTTGTCTTCATTGTATGCGGATGCATACAAAAATCTGAGCCTTCAGAGCTCACCGAGTTGGCAGCATAGGACCGGGAATAGACCAGGTTCCGAAATTAGAAAGTTAGTAGTCGAAGTTCGAGGCCGAAATTTGAGATCCGAGAAAGACAGGTGAAAGTGCGAGAAAGAAACAGCAGCAAGAAACAGATGCATGCGAAAGAAAGGAAAATGGTGAGAAAAGAAAAGCAGAAGGCAGCAGCCAGGCAGCAGGCTGCTGGAGTGTGGCCGAGTACGACGTAGTACAGAGACAAGAGCAGTCACGTGCTGCACTGACGCTGGCACAAAGTCCTTACTCTAACCCTACGCTCGTGCCTCGCTTCGGGATAGACCGCCAACATACCCTTGACCAACATATGTGCTAAGTGCAACAAACAACTTGAAATCTTCATGCGCCTGCAACTACAGCAAAATTGGCCCTGCCAGGTCTCATGGTCACTACCATCACTAATCTATCTCCTCGCCCCCGTCCATTTGGTGCGTCATTCGAGCTGTGATTCGCTGTTCACAAACCATTTATTTGCACAGTACCGCGACCATTTCGTGCTTATAACGACAAGATATCCAGCAACCGTCAAAGCACCTCCAAAGCACTTCCATCATGCATTCGCCAAGCGCTTCATCATGTTTGATGTGATGTGCGTATGATATTCCGAGTCTACGACCCATTCGATAAGTTATTTTCGACGGTTTCCGTTTCCCCTCTACCACCGTTGATGACAATTCTAAAGCCTCGATTCATCGCTGTGTTTTGGTGTTGCCATGGTAAGTATATCATAGCTTTCATGTATTTAACACTCGATGGTACTAATCTGCGCCAACACAGGATGGATCTACACAGTAACTCCGAAGCCGAGACAGTGACCGCAACAGTTGAACTTCCCTCTTCCGAACAACAGGATGTTAACATCAAAACCCATGGGAAACACCTAACAATATCTGGGCATTTGAAACGCTCGGAGAACCACGAAAAGGGTGGATATACGGTGCAGCAACATCTGTATGGCAAGTCTTCTAGGTTATGGCGACTGTACCGTCCAGGCTGAGGCTTTCCATACGAAGATGGAGAATGAAATGGTTACCGTGCGCTTCATCGCATAAAGATGTGATGCTATCCGCATGTTGCGACATGTGACTGTTTCGGATTTGTATCGTTGTCATTCTGTCGAGGTGAAATTAGGATTCTACAGCAACGGTGTGTCTGTAAGACGGCTGTGCGTGTGCAAGCATCAGACCACGATGCGACTTTCATAGCCTGTCCATGAAATTACTGAGCATGATGAAGGTCCGACAATGGCATTCTTTGCTCATGCAACCATTACCGGCTCCTACTCAAGTTTGCACTGCGAAACATCACTAAAACACAATGGATACTGATACGATCGCGAGGGTGTGCAATCAGAAATCAGGCATTTTGCCTGTCACAGGCTTCTTGTCTTCCAGGTGCGATTTCTCTTTCGACCTACTATATATGGTGTCTTATATTTACCAGGCGTCAATCATACGCATGAGTCGAGATGTATCCGCCAGTGCAATACATCACCATCGCATTAAGTGCACGATCATCATGTCCAACATATGGTCTATGACCCCAACGGACCAACTCTGAAGCCAAAAAAAAACAAGTGTACGATCGGATCCACCGAATAGAGCTCGCTGCTGTATTTCTTCTGACTTTTTCCATACTACAGAACGCGACCTAGTTAGAGAAAGCAATCAAGGGATCTAATAGCAAATCTCGGACTTGGCCAGCGCAGCCAGGAGAACGCACATGCTTGTTGCGACCACATCATGCTCATACCTATGTTAGATCGACAGCCATATGGTTTCATACGAAACACCCCGAAAATGGCATTGGCCGACATCGCCAACGACTGGGACTTTTCTGGTATCCACGTGGTGTCATGCGTTGTAACTCAAATTCTACTTTGATTATCGACGGCTTCCTCTTTTGCTTGATTTGACAATAGAAGCGCTGAACAATGGTACATCTAGCACGAACACTAGGTCGTTATACACTACCAAACATTCCTCACTCGCGCATACCCATCCCTCAAACATGACATTCGTCTCAAATGATTCCAGTTGGTGGCCAACAATCAATTCAAATTTCTTATTCAGCTATTGGATGGGTTCGTCAGCATCAACATGTCTAGATCTAACATTGACTTGCGGTTTCGCAGCTGTTGCCAGCGTTGTGGTAGTATACGATTGGGGTAAGCAGGACAGTGTTCGAAATTCGCTAATATTCTCATGATATTTCCAGTCTTAACACTCGGACAAGAGGTACGTCAATGTTATTACCGGATTGGCCAACTCGCTAAGGATGGTGTCATAGATTGAACTCATCTGGGTGAGTGACAAGAGTCCCGTCTCAGAAAAACAACAGAATACAATGAATTGGCGACAGAAACAGCGCTGGTCTCTCATGACTATGCTGTATTTGGTTGTTCGTACCTCATGTTGTACTATAGCGTGGTTGATAGTTGTGCTGACTCCAAAATATTTCAGATACGCTATATTGGAATTCCGTATTATGTGTATGTGTCGAGGCCAAAAAATCAGCACTGCTAATAGCTAGCGCTCATCTCTGACAATTAGGGCCAATTTTCTGGGTATGTCTCATATGTGTTGTGTTTGATTCTTCTGACTGGCGGCACACAGGAACTATACCATTGGTCCCGCTGACAGATGCAGTAAGTATTCCACAACCATCCCATTCCTATTCAACATACATACTCATACTCATATGTAGGGGTGAGTATTATTGTGACCATTTACTAACTTGGCTCAACATAATGACTCGATAGGTGTGAGTCTGAGTTGTTTGATCCTAGTACGAGGGTGTTCACTAATTGAGTGTTTCAGGCAATATTATGTACTACGCACTGAATTGGACAAATATGGTCGTAGCTGCCATGTTGGGCGGTGAGTTGCTCAGCTGCATTATCTCCGTGATATTAACTCGACTGAAATCTGATGCAAGTCATCATGGTTGCTCGCTTATATGCCATGTTTCAGGGATCTAGAACGATGCTCATCTTCCTTGTCATTATGTTTCTGGCTGTTAACATTACCTGCGGAGTGATCTCGGTAATAGACTTCAAGTATGTTGCAGAAGGTAAGCTTCCCCTGTTGACTTGATGAACACAGCTCATTGAACGAACACCAGAGGAGTTCATACTCTCTGGCACGTATATGTGCGATTATGTATCCGAAGGGAACAACCAGCTTCTGAACTCAATGATTTGGATGCTTAACACTGTTTGGGAGGTCCTCGCGCTGTCCCTTTCGGTCTGGGTTGGTATGAAACACTTCCGTGACCTGCGACTCGGCCCATCGACAGGATCGACCATTGGCGACTGTTTCAGAGTGCTGATACAATCTCACGTTCTCTATTTTGCAAGGTGAGTTTGTAATGTGAACGCGGTTATATTTTTCTGCTAAGTTCCGCACATGTTAGCTTTGCTGGCGTCTCTTGCCTCCAGCTTGCTGCCTCTCCAGCAATCTCGGTGCGCTGACCTGTCACTGATATCTGTGTGTAACCACTGCTCATCAGTTCTGTAGGATTCGGATTCAATTGGAGCTCTGATACTCGATGGTGCTCTTGTGATTTTATCGGACGTGCAGATGTTTGTGCTGGGACCACGCCTCATCCTTAGCGTTCGACAATATCACGCCAAACTCGTGGCATACTCCGACACAGAAACTAGCATGAATTCGATTGTTTTCCAGGAGCATGTACATGTAACGACTAGCAGTACTGTGTAGGGAAATGCGTGCCGAGTGGTCTGCAGGGAGGAGAAATTTTGTGCAGGATCCGTCTCGGTATTCATTTAACATGTACCTGAGGGTTTCAAAATATATTTGAGAGGTCTAGGCAAAGCTATTTATCACTACTGGAATGAAGCACCCGCGCTTGAACTAAGCGGTAAGGTGAAATTATCCAGGAGAAAGGCTAGGCTATTCTCCGTCAACGGCCGCATGAATGCTGCGAAGCGAAAGCAACTGTGAAACATACCGAAATGGTGGTCACATAGACTCGTAACCGATCTTTACTGCGCGAAACAGTAGAATTTAACGAATATGGCGTAACTGATAGCAGCACAATCGGGGATCCAATTATTGGTACATTTGACGAATCCTCTCTACAGGTACGCGCGCCTGTCTGTGCTCCCTCCAAGCTTCAAGTTTGTATGTAAAATCAAAGCCTTACCCAGCCTATTTGATTTCCCCAATCTTCTGCTTCATTATGCGTCCATTTAGTACAGAGTCGGCAATTGTCCATTGTCTGGCCATCGTGACTCGTCATCATTCAAGAATCGAGCCATGAATCCACGCGATTCTTCCATGTTCTTTCTCCGCGGCCCAGATAGATTTCAGACTCATGACCCTATCAGTCATCTTGGCTTCATACTTCGCGGACACCTCATCATCTGTGTCCTGACACAGTGGAACTCCGCAAACGCATAGAATCAGCTGTCTGGACAATCTATACTCATTCTCGTGGTATTTCAATACAGGAAATAATGGACTGGATGCGTCTCCATCGATAGTACCTGCAGGAATAGCCGCTTGAGGCCTTCTGACATTTTCTGATTCTCTATTCCACACTCAGAAGACCATACATATATCCTTGTCATGCTCATTCGCGAGAGACGTACAGTCAGGCCACGAGTCTACGCGATTCATTCATTTTATTCTCCGTAGTCCATCGGATGGAGGAAATCGCATCTGAGCACCGATGAGTTATCAGCTATCTGGCTTCACGCTTCGTAGTCACTTCATCGTCTATATATTCAGACAGTGAAACTCCACAAATGCGCAAATGTCAGGGCACTTTCATTGATTTTTGTTGTTGTATTTTAACATTGGCTATCAATGACCAGTTTGGTTGCTGGACGTTGCGGATAATTTCATCTCACCACTTGGTTTAAGCGCGGGTGCTTCGTTCCAGTAATGATACAACAAGAAGTAGGTTTGCCTGGGACTTTTGAATATACTTCGAAACCCTATATGTTAAATAATATCACGACGGATCCTCCACCGAATTTCTCCTCCCTGCAGGCCACTCGGCACGCATTTCCCTACACAGTACTGCTAGTTGATACATGTACATGCTCCTGGAAAACAATCGAATTCATACTGATTTCTGCGTCGGAGTATGCCACGAGTTTGGTGTGGTATTCTCGAACGCTCAGGATGAGGCGTGGTCCCACCACAAACATCTGAATGGACAATAAAATTTGAAGAACTCCTTCGACTATCAGAACTCCAATAGAACTTGTATTCTACATAAATGATGAGCAGTGGTTACACGCAGATGTTGGCGACAGGTCGGCGCACCGCGATTTCTGGAGAGAGATAAGTAAACTGGAGGCCAGAGACACCAGCAAAGCTAACATGTGCGGAACTTAGCAGAAAAATATAATCATTTTCACATTGCACGCTCACCTTGCAAAATAAAGAACGTGAGATTGTATCAGCACTCTGAAACAGTCCCCGATGGTCGATCCTGTCGATGGACTGAGTCGTCGCAGCTCACGGAAGTGTTTTACAGCAACCCAGACTGAAAGGCACAGTGCGAGGACCTCCCAAATAGTGTTGAGCATCCAAACCATTGAAGGCAGAAGCTGATCTTCCCCTCCATATACATCACCGCATATACATATGCCAGAGAGTATGAACTCCTCTGGCATTTGTCCGATGAGCTACGTTCTTCAAGTCAACAAGTAAAGCTTACCCAGTACAATATCGTTGAGTCCTATTGCCACCAATACGCCACAGGCGATGTTTACAGCCAGGAAGATAATAACAAGGAACACAAGCATCATTCTAGATCCCTGATACATGGCATGCAGCCGAGCAATCATGATCACTTGCATCGTGTGTCAGTTAGATCAATATCAGAGGTATTGCACCTTGGCAACTTACCGCCCAACATGGCAGTCAACGCCACATTTGAGCCATTTATTGCGTAGTACGTGACAGTGCCTAAAACTCGCAATTAGTGAACGCCCTCGCACTAATATCAAAAACTCCGACTTACACCTATTGAGTTATTATATTAAGCCAAGTTCAACGGTTGGAATCTCACTCACCCCTACATATGAGCGTATTGATTGTATGGGAATGAGATGGTTGCAGAATACTTACTGCATCTGTGAGCGATACCGATGGCATAGCTTCTGTGTCTCGCTGGGTCAGAACAATGGAACACAGCGCATATGAGACATACCCAGAATATTGACACTAGTTGTCAGAGATGAGCTATTACTATAATGCAAATTTGTTGATCTCGACACGTACATAGAATACGGTATTCCAATATAGCGTATCTAGAACATTTTGGATTCAGCACAAGTTGCCCACCACGCTAAAGCACAACATGAGGTACGAACAATCAAATAAAGCACGGTCATGAGAGACCAGCGTTGTCTCTGTCGCGAATTCATTGCATGCTCTTGATTTCTTCTGATACGGGACTCTTGTCACTCACCCAGATGAGTTCAATCTATGGCACCATTCTTAGCGAGTTGGCTGCTCTGGCGATAAGATCGACGTACCTCTTGTCCGAGTGTTAAGACTGGAAATATCATGAGAACATCAGCAATTTTCGAACACTGCCCTGCTTACCCCAATCATATACCACCACGACGCCGGCGGCAACTGCGAAACTGCATGTCAACGTGAGATCTAGACATCCTGATATGACAAACCTGCCCAATAGCTGAAAAAAAAAATTAAACTGATATACGGCCAGTGACTGGGATCATTTGAGACGTAGGTCATGTTCGAGGGATGAGTGAGCGACCGGGGAATGTCAGTGGTGTATGACGATAGCGTCCGTGCTAGATATGCACCTTTGGCACCTCCCGTTCCCACGGTCTAAGAGACCCGGTTTTCTTGTAGAGCGTAACGAGTCTAGTCTCTGAGACCCACCCCCCCACCATCTAATAATAGTACACACTCTTGCATTCCCTCGCAGGCCCTCTGAGACCTGCCTCCCCAGGGAGGTCCTTACCAAATTCGCTGAGAGGTTTGTGCAACCTCTCACACATCTCTACGAGGTATCCTTCTCCATGAGAGGCATCCTAGATACTTCTGCTGTTGTTTTTGTTTGTTATTACTAAATACGGCGAGTACAGCTTACTTAATGACAGGATGCGACCTAAAAGAAATCTTGTGTACTTTCCTCTCGGTACTAAAAGCCTGACCCAAAAGTACTAGCCTTTACCTGGGGTTATATCACCGTTTCAGGCACAGCCCAGCCTGACGCCGCGGAGGAATATCGCGCTGGACAGCTTTGAGCACCACACCATGGGATCCTCCACTGTGTTACATATCAGGAAGTATGCCTGCTTAATTTGAAAAATTTACAATAAGTCGGTCTCTCGTCACAACTTTTTAATATTAATGTTCTATGGTTCAATGTCCAAGCCTACATATTTCCTACACCGTTCTGTGGTAAAACGACAACTAAATAAAAGCGTCCTCATCGTAATTGCAGTATGTAATATACAGTCCCAAGAATTTTGACCGCATCGTGAACATCGTGACAGACATTTACGGTGGTGGTAGTTCCACCAAGAATTTTGACTCGTCAGCATGAATATCATGACCAGAACCACGTGCATAGCATGCCGGTACTCAGCAAAGCTGCACCGACAACAGAAACAATTGGAAGTGAAGTTCTCAGGCCAGCACCAATGCTCCCCTTACTCGTGCTTCCAAGCTTCCATGTGTCTCCCGACATCCCGTTCGAGGTGGCCAGCACACTCGGGTCCACCGTCGCTGCTGTCTTCGTGACCATCGTGGTGGAGAATGTTTGGGTGGAGGGGTTGCCTGACTCTGCATATGCGGAGGAGGAGAGGAAGATGAGTGCGGCGCCAGGGGCGGGGACAGTCACTTGACAAGTATTGGATGACTGGTCGCAGTTAATCGTCTGCACGCTCTCTGTGCCCGTTAGGCGACCATCAGACTGGAAGGTCCCGCCAAAGGTCTGAAAAGGCCATGAGTAAAGGGGAAAAATATTGGTGACCGGACGCACCTGGCCTGCCCACGTAATGTTGGACTTCTCCGACACGGAAGGTGCCACTAGATATCTAAGATAGATATTGGTCAGCGGGTAGCACCACTAATAACATAAATATAGAATACGTACTTGACTTGTATTTGTGCAGGCGTAGCGTTGTCTTGCCCAATCGCCGAGCCGCCGATGGAAATCGTTGCTGTGTAAGCGCTCGCACCGCTTGGATCCGATACGTAATTGAGTAGTACGAGACGCACGGGAGCACCATTCTCGTAGATTGCGTAGCCAGGGGTATACGTGCTGTTGGTGTTGGCCTGCAGATCAATGATTTGTGCGTTGCCAGAGGGTCCGAATGCTTCTGCGACGACCATTGTGCTGTAGAATATAGAGCCAATCGTCCATTGGTGGAATAATGACTGGTTCGTAGGAGGTGCTAAACAGAAATGTCAGTGTGACCTTCTCTCAGTTGCTTTAAATTGCCAAGGGAGAGCTCACGAGTGAAAGGCTGGACGTGGTGGGTGGCTCAGTGACATTTTCAAAGGGCTCAGAACACGTAACTCACATTGTAGTACACATCTTGACCACCAACGTGCATCATTGCACCTGAAAAGTTGCTATAAGCCATCTGGAGGCCATAATCGAGTGCCCATAGAGTGGCGCCAAAGGTATCACTAATCCCTGGCAAGCCACCACATGATGCTGTGTTTGTCTCCATCATAATGAAGGGCTTTCCAACCGATTGCGCGTAGCTGGTGGAATTAAGATAAGGGGCGACGATATTGATGCCAGAGGCATGGGTAAGGAAGTTTTGAAATACGTCTTGTGGGATGACAGGAGAACCGATGCCGTACAAAGCGTAACAGTTATCGCTTGGGTAACTTGAGAAGTTTGAGAAACTGCATGAAAATCACGGGAGGGGCTTACTGTTCAACTGCTAATGCTCCCAAACTTGAAGAATAGGATCCAACGAGTCCGGTGTCCCACACAGCTGATGATATTAGATTAGTTTTTGGTGCCAACCGCAAAAAAGAATTAGAATCGCACATTCTGGAGTCCATTCGCCTGTAATAGATGGAGCAACCAAGTTGTTTTTAACAGGGATATTATTATCGCTGTTGATGGCGTTAACTACTAATCCAAACTCGCCGAAGTAGTCAGAGGGTGAGTATGTGGAAGGTCGGACATCGTGTCTAATGAAACTGTCAGTATTTTAGGGTAAAGAACAAAACACAACCACGAACGCTGCATAAAGATCGGGCTGCGATGATGAGTAGTGATCGGTTTGAGATGCGGAGAGGACATACCTCGTTTCCAACTTGGAACCCGAGCAGATATCCAGGACCACTCAACACAGCTTCGCCGACTTCCGCGATGCCAAGTCGGAGGTTATTCGTGTCGTTAAACGGTATGCCTACGCCGATGTCACTGACGGCCTAAAATAGATTACATGAGCCTTACCGAGGAACCATTTTGTATTTACAAGAGCCGAGATGTTCGCCATCGTGTAAAAAACTTCGGCTGTGTAAAGAAGCGTTGGGGTGGCAGTCTGAAGTGATCAGAAACAAGTGATTGAACATGATGTCGCCAATAACGATCATGCACGCTGCACGCACCACATCACCCGTAGTGCCACGTTCTTTTGTCATCATCACACCTCCAGGAAGACTATCCACGAGGACTGCAGTCTCTTGAGTATTGCCTCCGACTCGAATGAGCACCTCGCCTGCCCGTTCGCGAAGGATGGCCATGAGGTTTAAAAAGGGAACCTGCAAGTATGTGCTATGACATATGAGTTCATGTATATGGACATAGCGGCCTCATCAGGACTTACGCATTTATACCGACTGCGACCATCTGTGATCAGTATATGACTTCTGGATAGGACATGATTGAACTAACAAATTTGGTTGATGACAGTGAATTCGATAGAAAATCCCATGAAAGACCCTTTATGGGGTATACTCAGACCCTGCACAGCTGCCGAAGAACTGGAGAGCTGGATTCCGAATTGTGTTGTGAGCCCCGTAGGGACAGGCGGGGGTGTTAGTACAGTAGGATCATAAGCTGCAGCGCCGGTATAATTTGCGGAAGATGCGGTGGTCGTTGAATCCGCTAATGGGACTTGGTGGTATACTGTCACGCTGGCATTGACGAAGGATGATAAGATGACAAAGACAAAAACACTGAGAGGGTGGAATAGTCGCATGTAGCCTGAGGGTGTATTGGAAAATAATCAAAAAAGCAGTGGACGATGAAAACAAGGACTAACTAGCTACAAAGTGATGGAGAAGGTCGTGGCAAAGCAACGAGGCAAATCTGGCTGAACCCCAATTACAATAGCAGTCTCTAAATTGGACTTGATGCTTCGGTACTCGCGCATGTGCACATCACTGTTACCCGGCACTGAACCGAACCACTAACCGAACTAAATCTGATTAGATGTTTCTACGCAGCAGCTGGCAGGGCAACCCGAATGAATTACTCAAGAGCTTCGGATTCGACAACAGTCAATTTTCAAAGAAACACAAACAATGCACGGAGCAGGTACTCGCAAGTATTGTCTTCTACTAACCTTTGAAACACTCAGTTCGTCTTTAACGAAACCTTCAATCCTCGTTTTCTGGACTACTCAGCTTCTTGCACTGAAGAACGCTGATTTGTGCAGGATGTGGTTGCAAGAACGTCGAGATCAACAACGGTGTTAGCGATATTTAGGTTGAAACCCTGAAGATATTAATATTGATGTCAAGCCAAGTTCAGCGTGGCCGCCTCGCTTTATCTGGGGATTCGACTCAAGCGCCCGCATGACGATGACGCCCCGTTGAGAACTTGTGGCGGTCCAGTGTGTGCTACATCGATCGTCCAGCTTCTATGCCCATTCCTCAGGCCTCAAGTTCAAACTTGAACCCGAAGCTCACGGACCTCAAACCAGTCCATCCCGTTCGCGACGCGCTTCTCTTGACGAGCCATGCATGGACACAACGTGCAAGTAGCATTAATGTGCGCACACTCAGGACGATCGAACACTTGTGGTTCAGCGCTAGCGTTCAACTACAGAATCTTGATGTATTCATTGCTGTGGTTGGAACGAATTGCAATTCTACTAGTACCTTCTGTCCTGCGTGGAATATGCCAGGGATCCAGGACCAGCGCTGCTTAATCCATACCCGCCACTGGCCTCCAGTAACAGCCACCTACGTCACCCGTCTTGATCCTTAGACTGAATCGTGACGCAATGTAGGGTCTCGCGCGCAGGTTATTTTTTCCGACGACTTACCGCATGGAACATTGTGCTGTGTATCAGGTCTTTTTTGGGCAAACCAAAACGAAAAAAGACAGCCCTTTCTGTCGTTGCACTGAGCTCGTGTATTTATGATAGCGGAGCCTGTTCTGCAAAACGCGATAACACTTTTCATTGTTCAATCGCTCTTTACCAAATGCCGAGTCTACCCAAACACAGCTGATGTCATTTTCGATGGAACTTTGTCGGCAACTGTCAAGTTGTACGTATACAGCACGGGAACTGAATCAAGCCCTGGATTTCCTCATACGGCAATGACGACTGTACACGAGTCAGGGATGGCTGTCCCAGGGTCTGGTATATAATCTAATCTATCACATCGCTAGGAGTCCCTCAGGCTTTCAACGTTCGACGACAAAGGCCGTTCCACTCGCTTCTACGACATTCCTCATCTTCCTGTCCCTATCTCAAGTCAGACTAACGGTCAAACAGAATCCGTTCACGAACTACATCCTTTCCCTACTATCATGAGTACAATTGCCTACCAAGCACGCTTGGCCGCCCGGGTATGTCCCCCCGCGTACCATGCTTATCGTGTCTAAACGTCTGGTATAGTCTTCAGGCGGACAGAAAAAGAAGTCTCCTCGCCACGATAGTTCTCCGCCAAAGCACGTGGAAGAGCTTATCTCACAAACCTACCATCCCCCTGTGTTGGCAAGAGCTCACGCTCACCAGTTCATTCAGAGTCAGGGGGGTGACTCGAGTGCTACTGCGCTCCGCGCAGCTGCGGATCCTCCTGTATCTAATCACTTTGCTGGCCAGGGTGCTTACCGGGCCCGGATCTTTGAACGAGTGAGTATTATGAGTTGATAAAGGAAACATGCCTTATTGAGACGTCACCTCTAGTACGGGTGTTCCTAGGATCAGAGCATTGCGCAGTTCTCGAATATCGCTCGTGCGCTTTGGCTGTGCCGCTGCGCATGAAGCACGTTTGTCAACGAGACAGGTCTCCTATTACTAGGGAGCTAGTCTTCAACTCTTCGTCATTTGAGCCATGGTGTGCCCATACCCTCTATTTTGTTTTGTTTTGTCATGTTTGGAAGCCCATACGATCTAGGAGCTAGTCTTCATCGAATCTGTCGGGTATATTGATACGCCTTCCGATGCTTTCCACTTTTGTTTGGTTTCTTCACGACCTGCTATTTGATGCCTGTTTACGACTTTACCATACAGTTCGATACTATGTATGCCGGTTATTGTGAATGTATGTCTTATCCGTTTACAAAATTGTCGATGGTGGTTTCAAAATGCCTGTGTGTATGAACTAGCGACTTCGCCACTCAATCGAAAAGTCTGAGAGCAAGTAGGCTAGAATTTGGGACAAACACCGGGCGCGGTATATGTATAAGTGAGTCAGAGCCAGATTGCCGCAAGCAACCGATTCAATGCACAGCCTATCTAGCTGAATGAATCACTATACCTTTCGAGTGTGAGCGCTAGTTGGAAGAGTTCTAGGGTGCTGATGGTGTGATTTATTGAGTAACATGACAATACCGGAGCCGGCACAAACCGATGCCCGTCGAAGAGAATGGGTGCAACGGGCTAGCACCTAATGCAAATAAACGGGGCTCTTCCTAATCCAGGTGTTGCGCTTTAATATAACAGATAAGTAAACAAAAAATAGAAAAGCGCTCGATGGCTGCCCGCTTGCCGCGTGTTGTTGCCCCCTATAGCAGATAAACATGGGGCATAGGGCCCTAGGGGGGAATAGAAAAGGGCCCGGCGGCTATCCTGAGTCCGGGAAGACCGGGAACGGCGTGGCCTCAGGTCTGAGCGTCTTAACCAAGAATGTCGCCTTTAGAAGCCAAGCTTGTGCACAGGCACGAGCGTCTGCAGCGATAATGAGATATGGCGAACTTATCTTCTGCCTTTAGGCTTAATTGTTTCCGAAGGATAAGGATCTTCTGGAAAACAGACCGCGGCCTCCTCGATTAATGTTGCGGGAGATGATGGCACCCGAGACCGTCACTCCGATGCTTGCAGGTGGAGTGTGACATCGAACATACGACGAGTCCTGGTCAGGAGCACTTTGAACTGCCTCGTAGCACTTTGCAAAAAAATTATGTAAATCAGATCAAAAAAATCTCAATTCGACCATTTTTTCTATCATTATACCACTCACCGGCGTGCACATGTCGTCCTGAACGTCCTGAATCCAACATCTAGATAACATGAAACCGAGCTAAGCGGAAAGTGTTTTGCCTGCAACTGCCTACACAAGTAAAGCAATATTGGTGGTGATAGAAGCCCGGCTGCAGTTGGCCCGCTTAGAAGTGGTAAGATTAAAAAGTCACACGACGCGACGGCGTAAGTAGTACATACTATTCTAGCCCTAGTACTATATTGACGGTGTACAGCAGTTCTACAGTGTACACAGCCTTTGAACCCGAAATCTCCTCGACAGGCCCATCAGTTACTACACGCACAGCACTCCATTGCAAGGTACGATTCCATAATCGTCCTATTCCGGTCATCAATAGGTTAAATCGTTTGCCATGCATAGTGCTTCTCTTAATGCATGACCTATGTAGGCGAGTGGTAAACACGCTAGTCTGATCAAAGGTACGTGTCCGGTGCAACCGCAAAGTCTGTGTGAGTCACTCTCCAAGTAATCCCTAACATAGACTCTTGTCAGACAACTATCCGAGTCTTTGGGGCGTTGGTACAACAGGCCAGGTCTTGATGCCGGTGTCCTTAATGGTCAAATCTATCCATATCGATTCTCAATTCGATTAATCTCACACCCCACGTTTTTTCAGGCTGTCCTATTGTGGCAGCCAGCAGGGCGTTGGGCTTCTATCTTAGTATGAGGGCGCCAATTTCATTCTTACCACTTTCAAGTTATTCGGTTCTATCGCCGATGTTTTGGTTCTTTGACAATCGTGTCCTGAGCGTCAACCGCCATGGCAAGCTGTCATACCCGGGTCAAAGTACGACCGTCAAGGACATGCTGCTGGGTATATATACTCTTGATGGCAAGTAGTACCAGCAGCACCAACTCAGCCCACTCCCAAAAGACAAACGTTACATTCTAAACTCTCAATCACCATGTCAACTTTCGGGACCCAGGCACGCAGGTGCGCTAGTGCTGTAAGTGACATCGCTTTGCAGAGTGGTCAGCACCTGATGAACAACGTTCATGTAGAAGAGCTCCAAGCAGTCATCCTGCAGTTCTGACTCATCCTCGCACAAGCACGTCGCTGCTGCTGATACCGATGCCGAGCATCGAGGAACCATTCCTATTATGAGCAAACTTGACATGCACATATTCGATCGTGTAAGTGCTTGTAGTAACAATTGGACTGTCGTTCGGTGTCTTACAGAGCTATAGTATGGGGAACCTAGCTCGACGCTTCCTACGAAAAACAAGAAACAGGAGGTCGAACAACGATCGCACACGTTGCCCGTACCCATACAGTGTGCTGCGAATGCCCGAATTTACCTTCGAGTAAGTGACACATGCATCCAAGCAATAACACAGGATTGAGTTAACATTGTTGCAGAGTCAATCGATGAAATGATATATGGAAAGAAGAAAAATCATCAAAAAGCTTTCCTTGAGCCGCCCGACAAGATATTATCTTGCACCACGCTTCGTTGACTATATATATGTGGAATTATGACTCGATACCGTCAACTTGATAACTATTAGTGTACTTTATACAAATGTCCAGATTAGCAACCATACATGCTGCTGGCACCGCATTTGCAAAATTCATGACCTCATACAATGATATCACCCGTATTTTCAAAGAGGCGCTGCAGATATTCATTTGATCGATGTGTGCATCATGACAAATACTTCATTTCTACTCGTTCGGAGCCACAGGAACAAACGGACCTTCCTCTGTCGGCGCGCATGGATCCTAGGTGTAAGAGTACTAGTGGCGCTTCAACATACCTTTTTCCAAGCTTCGGTGGAATCACTGGCAAGATCAAGCACCGTTTCTCAGAGTCCGAGCTCCGCTCTCCTCCTGGTACCTGACATGCCATTGGTGCCTTTCGAGCCACTCTGGTATAAAACCAGGAATTGCCAAGTGGAGCTGGGCATCCTTTGAGTCAGCCTGGAACGAGTAGATGGGATATCCTCAAACGCGAATGCCAATCTCGTGAATGCTGACTGTCAAAAATTGGATCCAGATTCCAGACAGCTGATTGTTCGAGACTCCCACGAACGATACATGAATCTATGGGAATGTTTGCTCATGGGTTCCTCGTCCTCCAGTACGTCGCTTGGATCGCCGTTATAGATAGCAATCCACTGTGGATGTCGAACCGACCCGCCTTTTGGGTCGAAACAGTGATCTTGGCACTCTAAGGTGTAGATGCCGGTCAAAGCCATATGGTAGTATGTGTTTGAATGCTCGTATCCTGGCAGTGAACTTGTAACCTTTTTGACTCCGTATGCAACAGTCAGTTCGTTGAACAGCTTGGATCATACACATACGTTGGTGTTTATCAATGCGACTGCAAAACACAGTCCATCCTGCTAAGCACAACCGTAAGAGTTTGAAACAACGAGATAATCTGGACCGGACTCGGGCGAATGAGTGTGAGGGGAAGGATATTGGGTCGCAGGGAGTTAGAGCCACAGTAATAAGAACTTGAGTCTGTGACCGGGAGTAGATAGAGTTATACAATCGCAGGTTAGGCAGTGCTGTGTGAGCTCGGGTCAAAATTCCCAAGAGACGTACGCCAGACTAGTCACGAATCTAAGTGCTGGCACAGATTTCGTGTGCTCAATTCCCGTACTCGAGTTACTTATATGCGTACGTACGTTGAAGTAGGAGTTCCGCGAGACTGCACATTCGGGGTCTCCACGGCCCAAACACTAGTCGATACGTAGACTAGGTTTCACCGTGCTCGTGCATCATAATCACGGCTTGTTTGTCTTGCTCTTGCTCAGGCCGCTGGCCCCTGCTCCAACGTGTAATTTTTGCAGTTTGCCAATGACTTCTTTGCCTATCCGACGGACTCATCCGTACAGGATGAAAGCTTACTGAAACACGATACCATCAGGATCAGCCTGTACAATCAGAAATGAGTCTAGCGTGTCACAGGCTTATTGACAGGCTTATTGTCTCCCGTGTGAAATTTCTCTTTCAATTTGAGGATGGTGTCTCTCAGTATCTGGCGGTGCAATACGTCAACATCACATAAGTGCACAATGTATTGAATATGATGCGCTTTGGATTGGATTCGTTGGATCCTTACCTTCTGTTTGTTCATCGTTTTTGATATAAATTATATAATCATAATGGCCCCCAATGATCCCAGTGTACGAGGTGCCATACCGCAGAATGGCCCTTATTCCATAAGAGTACTTAATCGGAGGGCTGCTGCGCCTCAGGGCGGGATCAAATATCCGTCACCATCATGCTGATTTGGGGGCTGAACGTATATCTAGCGCGAACGCTGACATTATACACCACTAACTTTCCCCACTCGCTCACACCCATCCCTCGAACATGACCTACGTCTCAAATAATCCCAGTTGGTGGCCGACAATCAATTTGAGGATTTATTTCAGCCATTGGACGGGTTCGTGGAATCGTCGCATCAGGATGTCTAGATCCAACGTTGATTTAGGGTTTTGCAGTTGCCGCCGCCGCCGTGGTGGTATATGATTCGGGTGAGCAGGACAGTGTTCGAAAATCGCTGATATTCTCATGATGTTTCAAGTCTTAACATTCGGACAAGAGGTATGTAGATGTTATCGCCGTAGCAGCCAACTCGCTAAGAATGGTGTCATAGATTGAACTCATCTGGGTGAGTGACAAGGATCCCGTATCAGAAGAAAACAAGAGCATGCAATGAATTCGCGACAGAGACAACGCTGGTCTCTCATGACCGTGCTGTATTTGATTGTTTGTACTCATGTTGTGCTTTAGTGTGGTGGGCAACTTGTGCTGAATCCAAAATGTTCCAGATATGCTATATTGGAATACCATTTTCTGTGTATGTGTCGAGATCAAGAACTTTGCACTGTGCTAATACCTCGTCTCTGACAACTAGTGTCCATCTTCTACGTATGTCTCATATGCGCTGTGTTCCATTTTGCTGACCGGCGGAACACAGGAAGTATGCCATCGGTATCGCTGACAGATGCAGTGAGTATTCTGCAACCATCTCATTCCCATCCAATCAATACGCTCATGTGTAGGGGTGAGTGAGACTCCAACCATTGAGCGTGGCTCAACATAATGACTCCATAGGTGTAAGTCGGAGTCTTTGATACTAGTGCGAGGGCACTCACTAATTGAGAATTTTAGGCACTATCACGTACTACGCAATAAATGGCACAACTGTGGCGTTGACTGCCATGTTGGGTGGTAAGTTGCCCAGGTGCAGTACCTCTGTGATATTGACCTGACTGATACACGATGCAAGTCATCATGATTGCTCGGTTGCATGTCATGTATCAGGGATCTAGAAATATGCTTATGTTCCTTGTTATTATATTCCTGGCTGTAAACATCGCCTGCGGAGTAATCGTGGCAATAGCACTCAACGATACTGTATTTGGTAAGCTGTACTTGTCGACTTGAAGAACACGACTCATTGGACAAACACCAGAGGAGTTCATACTCTCTGGCATATATGTATGCGGTGTTGTATATGGAGGGGACAAGCAGCTTCTGTTTTCAATGGTTTGGATGCTCAACACTGTTTGGGAGGTCCTCGCACTGTGCCTTTCAGTCTGGGTGGCTGTGAAACACTTCCGTGAGCTGCGACGATTCGGCTCATCGACAGGATCGACCATCAGGGACTGTTTCAGAGTGCTCATACAATCTCACGTTCTCTATTTTGCAAGGTGAGCTTGTAATGTGAACGTGGTTGTATTTTTCTGCTCAAGTTCTGCACGTGTTAGCTTCGTTGGTGTCTCTTGCCTCCATCTTGCTGATCTCTCTCCAGAAATCTCGGTGCGCTGACCTGTCGCCAACATCTGTGTGCAATCACTGCTCATCAGTTCTATAGAATTCAAATTCCATTGGAGATCAGATACTCAGAGGTGCTCTTGAAATTTTATCGGTCGTGCGGATGTTTGTGTTGGGACCACGCCTCGTCCTTAGCGTTCGAGAATACAGCGCGAAACTCGTGGCATACTCTGACGCAGAAACTAGCATGAATTTGATTGTTTTCCAGGAGCATGTACATGTATCGACTAGCAATACTGTATAGGGAAATGCTTGTCGAGTGGTCTCCAGGGAGGACAGCTTTTTTAAATTCCAATTTCTGTCCTTTGCAGAGTAGTACTCTATGTAGGACATTACAATCTAGTCTACGGGAGCCCCCGGTGTCCCAGTCGCATCTCCGAACACGCGAATGCCCAAGGTGTAAGAGCACTAGTGGCGCCTCAACATATCCAGATCTTCCAAGCCTCGGTATGACCACTGGCAAGATCAAGCACCGTTTCTCAGAGTCCGACCTCCGCTCTCCTCCTGGTACCTGATGCGCCATTGGTGCCTTTCGAGCCACTCTGGTACGAAACCAGGAATTGCCAAGTGGAGCTGGGAATCCTTTGGGTCAACCTGGAACGAGTCTAGAAGGCCAAGACGGGAATCACAGCCAAGAAATAGAGACCACTAGACGGGATATCCTCAAACGCGAACACCAATCTCGTGGATGCTGACTATCGAAAATTGGATCCAGACAGCTGATTGTTCGAGACTCCCACTAAGGATACAGGAATCTATAGGCATGTTTGCTCATGAGTTCCTCGTCCTCCAATACGTCGCTTGGATCGCCATCGTAGATAGCAATCCACTCCGGATGTCGAACCGACCCGCCTTTTGGGTCGAAACAGTGATCTTGGCACTCTAAGGTGTAGATGCCGGTCGAAGCCATATGGTAGTATGTGTTTGAATGCTCGTATCCTGGCAGTGAACTTGTAATCTTTTTGACTCCGTATGCAACAGTTAGTTCGTTGAACAGCTTGGATAATACACATACGTTGGTGTTTATCAATGTGACTGCAAAACACAGTCCATCCTGCTAAGCACGACCATAAGAGTTTCAAAGTGGAAGTGTCGAACGAGAGAGTCGATGTCATCTGGACAGGACTGGGGCGAATGACTGAGGGGAAGGATATCGGGTCGCAGAGAGTTAGAGCTTATCATAGACGGAATCTCATAGGGAAAGCCCACCTTGAACATTAGAATAGATGTTTGATCAAGACGCGAGGGCCAAAGTTCTCTGAATGCAGACTCCCACAGGTATAAGATTAGATAGGCATGGATATATATAGGGAATCCTGTAGGAACTCGAATCTGTGACTCAGAGTAGATTGAGTTATACAATCGCAGGTTGGGCAGTGCTGTCTGAGCTCGGCTCAAAATTCCCAAAAGACGTACGTCAGACTAGTCACGAATCTAAGTGCTGGCACAGATTTCGTGTCCTCGATTCCCATGTTCGAGTCATATGCGTAAGCGGGAGACAGACTACGTTGAAGTAGGAGACTGCAGATTCGGGGTCTCCGCGGTCCAAACACTAGTCAATACGTAGACCGTGCTCAGCCTCGTGTTAAGCTTGCATCATGATCATAGCTTGTCTGTCTTGCTCTTGCTCAGGCCGCTGGCCCCTGCTCCAACGTGTAAATTTTGCAGTCTGCCATTAAATTCTTTTCCTATCCGACGGAGTCACTCGTACAGGATGAAAGCTTACTGCAACATGATACCATCAGGCCTATACAATCAGAAATGGGGCTTCTAGCGTGTCACAGGCTTATTGACAGGCTTATTATCTCCCGTGTGCAATTTCTCTTTCGATTTGAGGATAGTGTCGTATCTAAGGTATTCAACATATGTCAATCACGAACCATCAATCATGATGTATCTGGCAGTGCAATAACATCACCATCACATCAAGCGCACGATACATTGAATATAGTGCGTTCTAGACCAGATTCGTTCCATCCTTGTCATATGTTTGTTCGTCGTTTTTGATATAATCATGATAGCCCAATGATCCAAGTGTACGAGGTGCTATACCGCAGAATGGCCCTTATTCCATAAGAGTACTTAATCGTGGGGCTGCTGCGCCTTAGGGCGGGATCAAATATCCATCACCATCATGCTGATTGTGGTGATACAGGGGCTGAGCGCTGAGCGCTGAACGGTGGTATATCTAGCGCGAACGCTGACGTTATATACCACTAACCTTCCCCACTCGCCTACACCCATCCCTCGAATATGACCTACGTCTCAAATGATCAAAGTTGGTGGCCGAAAATGATTTTGGTTATGTTTCTTAGCTATTGGGAAGGTCTGTCGCATCACGATGTCTAGAACTAACGTTGACTTGCGATCTTGCAGTTGCCGCCGGCGTCGTGGTGGTATACGATTGGGGTGAGCAGGACAGTGTTCGAAAATCGCTGATATTCTCATGATATTTCAAGTCTTAACATTTGGACAAGAGGTGCGTAGATGTCATCGCCGTAGCAGCCATCTCGCTAAGAATGGTGCCATAGATCGAACTCATCTGGGTGAGTGACAAGAGTCCCGTATCGGAAGAAAACAAGAGCATGCAATAAATTCGCGACAGAGACAACGGTGGTCTCTCATGACCGTGCTGTATTTGATTGTTCGTATTCATGTTGTGCTTTAGCGTGGTGGGCAACTTGTGCTGACTCCAAAATGTGCCAGATACGCTATATTGCAATACCGTTTTCTGTGTATGTGTCGAGATCAACAACAGCTTTGCACTGTGCTAATAGCTCATGTCTGACAATCAGTCTCGGTGTTCTGCGTATGTCTCATATGCGCTGTGTTCCATTTTTCTGACTGGCGGGCCACAGAACTTATGGCATCGGTATCACTGACAGATACAGTGAGTATTCTAGAACCATCTCATTCCCATCCAATCAATACGCTCATATGTAGGGGTGAGTCAGATTCCAACCATCGAACTTGGCCCAACGTGATGACTCAATAGGTGTAAGTCGGAGTCTTTTATACTAGTGCGAGGGCGATTCACTGATTGGGAGTTTTAGGCACCACCACGTTCTACGCATCAAGTGTGACAATTGTGGTCTTAACTGCCATGTTGGGCGGTGAGTTGCCCAGGTGCAATATCTCTGTGATATTGACCTGATTGATACGATGCAAGTGATCATGATTGCTCGGTTGCATGCGATGTATCAGGGATCTAGAACGATGCTTGTGTTCCTTGTTATTACCTTCCTGGCTGTAAACATCGCCTGCGCAGTGATCACGGTAATAGTACTGATGGATACTGTAGGGGGTACGCTTCACTTGTTGACATGAGGAACACACGGCTCATTGGACAAACACTAGAGGAGGCAATACTCTCTGGCACATATATGTGCAATTACGAATTTGAAGTGAACGCCCAGCTTCTGTTTTCCACGATTTGGATCCTCAACACTGTTTGGGAGATCCTCGCATTCTGTCTGTCAGTTTGGGTTGCTGTGAAACACTTCCGTGAGCTGCGACGACTCAACCGATCGACAGGATCGACCATCGGGGACTGTTTCGGAATGCTGATACAATCTCACGTTCTTTATTTTGCAAGGTGAGCTTGTAATGTGAACGCAGTTATATTTTTCTGCTCAAGTTCCACATATGTTAGCTTTGTTGGTGTCTCTTGCCTCCAGCTTGCTTGTTTCTCTGAAGTAATCTCGGTGCGCTGACCTGTCGCCAACATCTGCGTGTAACCACTGCTCATCGGTTCTATAGAGTTCAACTTCTATGGGAGCTGGGACGCTCGATGGTGTTGATGGGATTTTATCGGTCGTGCAGATGTTTGTGCTGGGACCACGCCTCATTCTTAGCGTTCGAGAATACAACGCGAAACTCGTGGCATACTCCGATGTAGAAACTAACATGAATTCGATTGTTTTCCAGGAGCGTGTACATGTATCGACTGGCAGTACTGTGTAGGGAAATATTTGCCGAGTGGTCTGCAGGGAGGAGAAATTTGGTTGTGGATCTGTCGTGGTATTTAGTTAACATATGAGGTTTCGAAGTATATTTGTAGGCAAACCTATTTCTTGTTGTATGGCTACAGGAACGAAGTACCCGCATTTGACCCAAGTAGCAAATTGAATTTATCTAGCAACCAACCTCGTCCTTGATTGCCGATATTGAAATATACTGATGGCTGATTCTACGTGTCTGTGGAGTTCCGCTGTCTGAACATACAGATGATAATGAAGAAGTGAATGCGAAACGCGTGAAGTCAGATGGTTGATGACTCAGATGCGATCGGTCCTGCTTATGCTGTCCTCTTCTGCAATCATCTATCTGGGTTAGGCATGTGGGATGTGACGTGAAAGTTCCACGAACTAGGAAAGTCAAAGCAGCGTGTCTGACCTCAGACAGCTGATGGCCCGAGAATGACAAATTCCCTGATTATCCGCTGTCCGAGTACAAAGCACGAAAAAAGGAAGCGACAGTGATCTTAGAATAGTGCGTCGGGTATTTATTCAGGTCCTCGTGTCTGTTGACATCCATAGTGAAAGTAGCACGTCCCTCAGTGTGAAGCATCGAACCAGAATATGATACGGACCCAATGTTTTACACCATCTTCATTGACCACTGGCACCCCGAGTAGCATACCGAAGCTCAGATGGGTGGTAACGCAATAGCCATCTGGACCAATCGGTGGAATCGAGCGAATGGGGTACGAAGGGGAAGTTCTGTTGTTGAAAATGAAGTTTCGCGGAAGACCAGATGGCTGATAAAGCAATGGTAATTAACGTTTCCCTGTTGTCCATCTGGGCTGTCCATATAAATGGACTGCGATGAGAAAATAAGTGAACGGCAGGGAGTCAGAGCATATCCTAGACGAAAGCTCATAGAAATGCTTACCTTGAGTGTTGACGTATATGGTTTGATCGATAAATAGGCTCATCGTTCTCAGATGGGGGATTGCCTTCAACAATCAAGAGCGCTGCTGTATCGATAGTTAGCCTAGTACATATTTTCGAAAGTGGAATAGGATAAACAACTTACAGCTAGCCAAAACCTGCCAAATAGCACGACTGTCAGAGTAACGCACCGAGCGAGATGCATACATACAATACACCCGCTGATATTAATCAGAGTCGCCCTAGTATGAAGAGATAACCATTAGAAAGTATTCGGTTCACAGGTCGTTATCTGCTCGCCTAGGTAGTACATTAGCGGTCTGGATCTGAGCCCGACAGCTGATAGACCAGAATTCCACACTCGTGAGAACTACCATCCGTCAGCTGTTTGAATATCAAGACCGAAAGCAAAATAAGTGCGCACGATCTATAGAAGCTCAGATAGCTTGCTATGCAACGGCTTTCGCATCTACTGTGTCATCATCTGAGCCGTTCGGGTGGGGCGCGATGCGACTATTTCACGGATCAAGGAAAGTAGAAGTAGCATGTATGATCTCCGAGCTCAGACGGCTGATGATCCTTAAATTTGACACATTTGTGAATGCCCTGGATTATCACATATCTGAGCACGGAGCAAAACAAAAAACAAAATCAAGAACTGACAGTGGTTTGCAGAATCGTGCGTTGGGCATATACGGCCTGTCGAAGTCTTACTAGTAGCATGTCCGTCAGTGTAGATTGTCGAACGAGACTATTATATACGTACATCAATGCAGTTCGCAGTGGAGTTGGAGTAGCGTGTCGAAGCCCAGGTAGCCAATAAAGAAAGGATACATGAAAGTAACTTGTCATTTGACTGAGCAAAATAATGGTCATGATTCATACAAGCCAGATGGTCGATGACACCATGGCATTGAAGAGGTTATCACAGCATCGCCGTATCAGTCACCTGGACGAACAAACAGAGAGTGAAGGGCTGGAAAAGGAAAAGGGAAAGTAGCGCGTCTGTGATAAGGTAGTTATAGAAGAAGAAAAATGCGGTAGTAGAATGTGTCTGGAGGATCTGTTACAGGAGCAACACTTATATATACTTAAGTGCGATGGAGGCAGAGTCCAGACCAAATACGATAGTCGTTCATTCTAGCTTTGATGTGCCTGTCCGTCGAGCTTCACGCGCAGGTCGATTCTCGTCTTCCATGACCGATGCGAGTGAGGCAACAAGAGAGTGTGTGAATTCTGGAACGGCGTTGCTTGCAGAAAGTACTGTAAGCACAATTCTATCACAGCAGTTGGTTGGTTCATTTTTTGACTCCGCAAACGCCGAAGGTAGCGCCGCGGCCTTTGATTAAAATTTAGACAAGCTTCAACGCCGGCTACCAATGCACGGAGACCTCACCGGTGCACCTCTTGTGTATTATGTTGGGTGCACATCGGGGTTATCGATATTTAGGACAGGTTTATATGTTGTACACAATGAGAAGAAAATATTTGAAATTTAAACTAACATAAAGATCGGTGCACAACTTCAAAATTTGGCGAAGTTTTATGTGTAATCCAAAATATCAAGCACCCGCAACCATATTCCCACCTACCCTCGACCTCTCAACCCCGTATGGGCCTGTCAATTCTGACAATTGATAAATACAAGTGACACGTCGTTCGCATGCGCTTGGCTCAAACCAGCTCCCAACCTCTCCTCCGCAAACTCTTCATGCATGAATCTCACCTAGGACCCATTTACCCACACCAATATTCAATCGTTGTCTGTCATAGCTAGCCCAAGTGATGAGATCAAACCATTCCGTCCTGTGCAAGGTAATGGTCGACCTGCGCACACGAAACAGGTATATGGTCGCCTTGCTTCAATCCATCTTGAGCGTTGGCGAATGCCACACATCGAACATCACACACGTCAAAAAAAATCCGTAAAATTGCATGCACGACACTCATCAAATGAAAACGACCAGTCACGACATAATATATATCTATACCATTATGAACTCTCCACGATCCAAAATTTGAAAGAAAGCATTGACGTCGATAACAAAATGGATGTGAATGTGGACGTGTAGACTGGCTTGGCTCGTAGATGGGCTGGTCACAAGCCTATTGGACGTGTACGTGATAACATGCGGGGTTGAGTGGAGTTGTATCTAACATGTGGAGTGGGCGCAACGCAAGCCTGAGTGCGAATTAACACGGGTTAGGCGTAGATGACGGTCGTGGTCGTGTGCAAATGGCGATCGTGTTGTGCATATATGCAATTGGGTGATGTGTACAAGGATGTCGGTAAATGGATATGCATGTATAACAGTGCATCTGGGCGGGCTTGGGCATCAAGCGGAAGACGTACAACGACGTGGTAGTGTACAACACGAGGTGGCACCGTACAACACGAGGTGGCAGCATACAACGAGGACAGGCGTACAACGAGGTACAAAGCCCATGTGGGAATAATCAATTCTTCTGATACAGTGGTTGAGATGATACGCGCCTAACGCGCCCGGTCCTGCGATAGCGCACGTATACGGCGCGTGAGCTCACAGCTTCACCGAGCTCGCCTGATGAACTTCAGACGGGCTCGTTGGTATAACCAAAAATCCTGTAATCCTGATGTGGATCAGGACAAATTATCGCTACATTGATATTGTGTTGAGTCGTGGTGTGTGGGATTTTGGGGCGGGTGTGATGTGTGGGTTGTGTGATAGTGATGAGGTGCACAAGGCTGTGGCGATGAGGTGAATGTGATGAGGTGAATAAGACGAGGAGGTGAATGCAGGTACAACAAGGCATACAACAAAAGAGGTGGACCGCGAGTGCTCCAATCCAGCGAACGACGACCAGCGCAATTCACCCAAGCGCAAATCTCAGCGTACTATCCGCTTCTCCGATGGAAACTGGCTGCGTCATCGAGCCCATTCCTATTCCTTGCCCGCCCGCGCCCATGCCTAGACTCTGTGCCCCCATACCGAGACTCTGCGTCCCGCCTAATCCAGCTTGCGTCCCTCCTAAACTCCCCACCATACCCTGTGCCCCTCCTAAAACGCCCATAGTCATACTCTGCGGCACACCATCGGCACCCATGCCCTCACCGCCCCCTTGCGTACCCTGCGCTCCAAGCTCATACCACCCCGCGCTTCCCGTCCTGTCCCCTTCAAGCATTGCGAATAAAAAACTTGTCCATTCGCCTGGTACGGCGTGGGCGTGGGCATGTGTGTGAGGTGGGTCTTCGTGGGGGTTGGGATGCGGATGTGGGTCTTCATGCTGTTGAGGTGCGTGTGGAGGTTGGTGCTCGGTGAGTTGCAGTGGTTGTGGGTTCTCGTGCCTCGCTATATCCTCTTTGCGCAGTTGCTCCATACCCATACCCAGGTTCTCTCCACACTGTATGGGCTGCAGATGCATATGATCTCCCCCATGTCCCAAACTCAACCGTCTCCTCTCCCCGCTCTTCCCATATACTTGCACACATCCCCACCTCCCCCACTCACTCAACCGTCTCCTGTCAGGAGGAGTGCCGCGCCCCATGAATGCTCGGGGAGGCTCGGAGAGGAGGGTTACGTGGAGGGAGGAGAGGGGTGGAGTGCGTGGGAGGGTGGGAGAATGTATTTGGGGTGGCGTTTGGGGTGAGTGTATCGGTGGTGGTGTTTGGGGAGTGGGTGTTGGATGTGATGGTGGGGGTGTTGGTGTTGGGGGAGATGCGGGGATTGAGGAAGGCGTTTGTGTGGTCGTTGATGTAGGGGTAGAAAGACGCTGGGGAATCGGAGGAGAGGGCGTTCGACGTGGAGGGGAACACGGCGGGGAGGCACACAAAGGGCGTGGAATAGGCATCGTGTCCAATAAAGACCGCCCAGGCGGCGATGTAGATCTCGGAGGTGATGTAGCCTGTTTCTGCGGTGTAGGCGCTATCGGCGGCAAGATTGACGGAACATTCGGTACCGTAGGAGTCACAATCGCCGGGACACAAGGCGTCGCAATTGCCTTGGCACCTTCAACATCCATCGAAAACAATCCGTCTTCACCCTCTGCATCCTCTTCCTCATCATCATAATCATCATCATAGTCGCCAGAAAGGTCACATTCATCCAAATCTTCGTCTTCATCCTCTTCATCATCCATATCAAAATCAATAGCTTCAAATGCAGCTGACTTGTAGGTGTAGCTTGCGCGTTCGAGGTAGGAAGCGGGTGTGTAGAGACGAAAACGGGTGTTGGAGGAGTGGGTGGATGGGGAGGGGAAAGTGGCGCGTGCCTCGGATGCGACGAGGGCTTTGATTGTGTCTGTGCCGTAACGACGAAGTCTGGGGGACGTCAATGGTGTGGAATCAAAATGAAACTAGGAGACTAACAAGAATTCTACTCGTTCTTGACATGCTAATTTCCAGATGTTGACTTCTCGATCGCGATGTGGGGCGGGTGTGTAGTCAAATGAGTTTGGTTGCGAGAAAGTGGCTGGGGTTGTGTTAGATGATGGTAAGAATGAACAAGGAGAACATACGTTGTTGGGGGTATCCGTTGGATTGGTTGTATCCATTGGTATACTCTTGGTCAGAGAATGCTGTATTTGAAAAGGCATTGTCTTGAGAGTGAGAAAAATCGGGTTGGGGGATGAACTGGTGAGAGAAGCCAGTGGAGAAGGAGGTTGGGAATGAATTCGACCCGAAAGGACCGGACTGAGATGATGGAAAGGGGATTGTATTTGAAGAGAAAGGATTTAAATCTGCGGGAGGGGAGAAGGTCGGATTTGACACAAAGTCTGAAGAGTTGGTATAAGATGGGTCATTTGGAGGGAATTCGGGTAAAGGATCTAATGGGATTAAAGAGTCAAGGTCGAGTGGCGTCGACGACGACGTCTGTTTGGTCTCCGTCGTCTGTTTTGACTCCGTCGTGGGTTTTGACTCCGTCGACGACTTGGTCTCCGTCGTGGGTTTTGACTCCGTTGTCGACTTGAGCTCCGTTGATGCAGGCTCGTCATGATCCTTGGGCGCTAAAATACTTGGTTGATCCGCGAGGACATTACGAAGGGATTCTTGAGTTGTAACTGGTTGTATAGGTAGATCGATGATTGTTGGTGCTAGAGGTGGAATGTGGCGTGGCTTTGGCACGTTTTGAGCACGGGTTCTGACTCGTACTTGGCGGATGCGTCGACGCACCTCGCCGACGTTACCATGAGCGACATTCGTATTATCATTCTCTTTACGTCTCTTTCTCCTATGGTTGGTCTCTATATGAGGTAGTAGAAGACCGTCCGAGTCAAGAGCTAGACGCTGACGTTTGAGGGCTCTGAGTGCACGTGGGGTGAGCTCGTCATTCTCGCTTGTAGAAGAAGTATGTAGTTCTTCCAAGTTATTCAAAGGACGTCGTTTAGTTGTATGGTGATGATGATGATGATGAGGGTGTTGTGCTATTCGGGTGGAACGGCGAAGGACGAGGTCAACGGCAGCCATAGACAACGAGTCCAGTACAATTCGATCAGGAAATAGAAATTGCAAAATGAATCCACAATCAACGAATCACGTAAGCGTGCACGGACCATATCACGTGTTATTCGCGTCTGAGTTAAACCCCCTTTTACGCCGCATTTAACTGTGACCTACTGAAGTTCTTATGCAATATTTTCTTCCTCTCCTTTCCCTCAAGATCCATTGTCTACCTTTCTTAACGCACTCACGCTCCCCAATCTAAGCGAGCTTAACATTGGCACGAGATTCTGGACTGGTGAAGAGTTGAAGGGTGTTGATAGTCTTGCGGTCGGAATAGCTATTGATATCTGGATATGAGGCTGGATTTCAGGATTGTTATGAGCAGCACTACTGGTGAGCAGGGCACTTCTTGGCTTTGAATAATCTGTATTCCGCAAAGGTGTACGTTATCTTATTCCTGACCCGTTCTGTATCAAATGATGGTCAACCTCCACACGCGGACCATTCAATCAACGTGCTCGGTCCCAAAGGCCTACAGCAGCCAAAGAAATTAGGGAGTCCGAGTCTGCCGCAGCCAGGGAAACCACAGCACGAAGCTCGCTACCAAATAGTCTAAGCTTCGATCGAGGAATAGAAATGGCAAATTGAATAATCAAATGCAATTGTACGACACACTCAAGCTAACCCGAGGTGTCCTCAAGATCGAGGGCAGAAAGATCAACTGAAATCTGGAGACTGGGAATGTTAACTCCATACGAGCTTCGGCCGGACACCGCTACTCTGAGTGGACGAGCCGACAGTCAAGGTCATCACGATCAAGTACTTTCACTGTACCTTTGGCCAGAGATGCAACAGTAGGAGGCATGGATAACGATGAAACAGGTGCCCACGTATGATGCTCCCCGCCGACTGAATCTCATTCTTTGAATAGCCGCAATATTCAGAGGAAACTCACCATAAGGGTTTGCCGGCAAACGGGACGGACGTGAGTGTTCGATTCATTTAGCAGAATATTGGGGTCTTCTAAGAACATGGTTGGACTAGAACGATGAAAAGAGACATAGATCGGGTAGCTAACATTCAGCAAAGAGTGCGAAGAGCCTATCAGACAGACTTCTTAATGGAACAATGGGCCAACAGGAACTGAGGAGGCGATAAGAGACGAAGCGACGTTGCTGAGAAGTGGCAAGCTTGCGCTCGAATCCATGGCTTGTTTGGAGGACATGTGGGAGTCAGTGACTAGCAGTAAGCTGTGTAGTTGATGCGCCAGTGGTCGCGGCAGTTGCCGCAGCAGTCGCAGTAGTGGCGCAGCATGAAGTTCAAGATGCCCGCGGCATTTTCACGATTGTGTCATTTGCCATGTTTAAATTAGCTCTAACTAGAAGAGGTGTTGGACCACAAGTACAGCCGACTATCCATCATGTAACCATCATGGATAGTACGAGCGCTGAACAGTGGTATATCTAACACGAACTTGAACACCAGGATCGTTACACACCCACATTTGCTCACACCCACTGTCCCTCGAATATGACCGTCGTCCTAAATGATCCCAGTTGGTGGCCGAAAATCAATTCGAATGTTTTTTATAGCTATTGGATATGTTCGTTGCACCAAGACCTCTCGATCTAGTGACATTGACTTGGGTTTCGCAGTTGCCGCCGGCGTCGTGGTGGTATACGATTGGGGTGAGCAGAACAGTGTTCGAAAACTACCGAGATTCTTATGATATTTCCAGCACTAACACTAGGACAAGAGGTAGGTCGATATTATCGCCGCAGTAGCCAGCTCGCTGAGAACGGTGTCATAGATTGAACTGATCTGGGTGAGTGTCAGAGTCGCATATCGGGATACTAATACCATAAATTCGCGACAGAAGCATCGTTGGTCTCTCATGGCTGTGCTGTATTTGGTTGTTCGTACCTTATATTGTGCTATAGCGTGGTTGGCGAGCTGTGCTGATTCCCCAATGGTCTAGATACGCTATATTGGAATACCATATTCTGTGTATGTGTGGAGGCCACCAAATTAACACTGTGCTAATGGTTCACCTCTCACGATCAGTGTGTATATGCTGGGTATGTTTAATATGCGCTGTATTCGATTCTTCTGACCGGCGGCACATAGCATTTGCGCCATTTATCTCGCTGACAGATGCAGTGGGTATTACGCAACCATCCCATTCCCATACAAATGAATACACTCATTTGTAGGGGTGAGTGAGATTTTGAACATTGAACTTGGCTCGACATAATAACTACACAGGTGTGAGTTGGAACGTGTAATCCTACTACAATGATGATCACTAATTGGGTGTTTCAGGTAATAACATGTACTACGCAATAAATGGGACAAATGTGGTTGTAACTACCATGTTGGGTGGTAAGTTATCCAGCTGCGATACCTCAGTGATATTGACTCGACTGGAACATGATACAAGTCATCATGATTGCTCGGTTGTATACCATGTACGAGAGATCTAGAATGATCCTTATCATCCTTGTTTTTATCTTCCTGGCTGTTAACATTGCCTGCGGAGTCATGACGGCAATAGGACTCAAGCATTCTATACTAGGTAAGCTTTACTTGTTGACTTGAAGAATACACCTCATTCGACAAATGCCAGAGGAGCTGATACTTTCTGGCACATATATATGCGATCTCGGATATGAGGGAGATGTCTGGCTTCTGAACTCATTGAATTGGATGCTCTACACTGTTTGGGAGGTCCTCGCACTGTGTCTTTCAGTCTGGATCGCTGTAAAACACTTTCGGGACCTGCAACGACTTGGTTCATCTCGGACAAGGTCGACCATCGGGGACTGTTTCAGAGTGCTGATAAAATCTCACGTGCTTTATTTTGCAGGGTGAGTTTGTAATGTGGATGTGGTGATTTTTCTGTGCTGAAGTTCCGCGCGTGCTAGCTTCGTCTGTGTCTCTTGTCTTGAGCTTGCGATTCTTTCTCCAGAGCTTTCGACTCTCACTCCAGGGCTCATGGTGCGCTGACCTGTCGCTGACATCTACGTGTAACCACTGCTAATTATTCCTGTAGAATTCAACTTCTATGGGCACTCAGATACTTGTTGGTGTTCTTCCGATTTTCTCGGGCGTGCAGATGTTTGTTCTAGGACCACGCCTCATCCTTAGCATTCGAGAATATCACGCTAAAATCGTGGCTAGCTCCGACGCAGAAACTAGCATGACTTCGATTGTCTTCCAGGAGCGTGTGTATGTATCAACTAGTAGTACTGTGTAGTGCCACACCATATTTAAGGACTTGATATCCGTGAATCTGATCTCTTCACCTACGGCATTGGTTTATCGACAACCGTCTGCGAGACGGTTCGGGTGTTTCTTCAATTCTAAGCATGTACTGTTAAAATATTATGAGGCTAAAATTGCACCAAAGCTCATGCAATCTACATGTGTTCTTGGTTCAGAGGACCATCGAAGACACTCCTTTCTCGATGATCATCACACACTTGGACATATTGAAATGTGCACAGCGAATGACCTGCGACATCACTACAACTTGACATGCCTCTGAAATAAATATAAATCAATGAAGATACTGATAACTGCACATCAAGCTTGAAGCCGTCCATCTTCTCCGTCGTGCTGTTCTTCAACACTCACTGACTGAGCATGTACTGAATGATTAAAAAAACAAAAAACTCGCTGACATCAATTTTTTGGTTAAGAAAGGTATCGCCAACATATATGAAACATCACCGGATAGGAAGCTCTTCTCCTTTGGCAGACACCCTGATAAACGGCTGAGTAAATGGAGTGAGGATTTTGCGTTCTGCGGGCGTCATCGAATGAAGGTCAGCAAGATTAGACACATTGACAAATGCTGATTGGCGAGCTTCGTCTGACAGGTAGTGAACTAGCACAGGACGCAGCGACCAATTCATGAAAAGTACAGGTAGTCACCATATAGCACTGGCAAAAAAGGAGCAATGAGAAGTGGTAACAGGATGTGAGCTTGCGTGAGTGTTGTACGGCGTGCTGGATGGTGTAGAATGTATGGCTGACTATAGTTCGTGAAACAAAATGGAAGAGCAACTTGGAGGTCAAAAGGAGAATAAATTGCAAATGAACAGCACAGCATGACAGGTTGGACACAATTGACACCGACCCGGCGGCTATTCGTGCTTATATGTTCGTGCTTATATGTTAGACACAGGCCTAGTGGCACTGGCACAACGTTTTCACTAGCTTACTATAGAGCACTGGCATGATTTGCCGTGTTCAATTCGGCTCTAACTAAAGGAGGGTTTTCCTGATGAAACTTCAGGTACAACCAGCTATCCATCACCATCATACAACTGTCATGCCGGTTTTGGTGATATTACGAGCCCTGACTCGGAGCGCTCAACGGTAGCATATTTGACACGAACACTAGATCGTTACACACCGCAACATCCCCCACTCGCTCACCCATCCCTCGAATATGACCGTAGTCTCGAATGATCCCAGTTGGTGGCCAGTAGTCAATTCGAATGTTCTTTTCAGCTATTGGCTAGGTTTGTCGCATAAGTTAAGATGTCTCGATCTAACATTGACTTGCAGTTTCGCAGTTGCTGCCGGCATCGTGGTGGTATACGATTGGGGTGAGCAAGACAGTGTTCGCAAACTGCTGACATTCTTATGATATCCAGTACTAACACTCGGACGAGAGGTAGGTCGATGTCATCTTCGGAACAGCCAACTCGCTAAGAATAATCTTATAGGTTGAACTGATCTGGGTGAGTGACAGAGCTCCATATCAGAAGAAAAACAACAAATACAACAATTTTCGCGCAGAAGCAACGCAGGTCTCTCATGACTGTGCTGTATTTGGCTGTTCGTACATCATGTTGTGCTATAGCGTGGTGGCAAGTTGTGCTGACTTCAAAATTGTTTTAGATACGTTATATTGGAATATTATTTTCCGTGTATGTGTTGAGGCCAACGGATTGGTACCGTGCTAATAGTTCATCTCTGACAAATAGCACCAATGTTCTGGGTATGTCTCGTATGCGCTGTGTTCGATTCTTCTGACCGGCGGCACATAGCATTTGCGCCATTTATCTCGCTGACAGATGCAGTGAGTATTACGCAACCATATCATGCCCATCCAAATGAATACAGTCATTGTAGGGGTGAGTGAGATTCTGACGATTGAACTTGGCTCGACATAATGGTTGAATAGGTGTAAGTTGGGGTGTTTGATCCTAGTACGAGGGTGATCACTAATTGGGAGTTTCAGGTAACATTTTGTACTGCGCAATAAATATGACATGTGTGGTCGTGACTGCCATGTTGGGCGGTGAGTTACTCAGCTGCAATACCACTGTGATATTGACTCGACTGAAACATGATGCAAGTCATTATGATTGCTCGATTGCATACTATGTATGGGAGATCTAGAATGATCCTGTTAATCCTTGTTGTTATCTTCCTGGCTGTTAACATCGCCTGCGGAGTAATGGCAGCAGTAGGACTCAAGGATACTGTAGCGGGTAAGCTGTACTTGTTGACTCCAAGAACAACATAGCTCATCGAACAAACACCAGAGGAGATGATAATCTCTGGCACATATATGTGCCATCTTACACTTGAGGGGAATGCCTGGTTTCTGAACTCAATGTCTTGGATGCTCTACACTATTTGGGAGGTCATCGCACTGTGTCTTTCGGTCTGGATTGCCGTGAAACACTTCCATGACCTGCGACGACTCGGTCCATCGACAGGATCGACTATCGGGGACTGTTTCAGAGTGCTGATGCAATCTCATGTTCTTTATTTTGCGAGGTGAGCTTGTAATGTCAATTTGGTTTTCTTTTTCTCAAGTCCCGCGCGTGCTAGCTTTCTTGGAGTCTCTTGCCTTGAACTTACAATTTCCTCTATAGAGCTCATGGTGCGCTAACCCGTTGTTGACATCTGCGTGCAACCGCTGCTAATCGTTTCTGTAGAATCAAAGTTCCTTTGGAACTCAGATACTTCTTGGTGCTCTTCCGATTTTATTGGTTGTGCAAATGTTTGTGCTGGGACCACGCCTCATCCTTAGCGTTCGAGAATATCATGCCCAAATCGTGGCTGACTTCGATGCAGAAATTAGTATAACTTCGATTGTCTTACAGGAGCGTGTACATGTACCGACTAGCAGTACTTTGTGGTGCCACATCATATTCAAGGAGACTTAGTCTCGCCGAATATAATATTTTCGCCTTCGGCATGAGCTTATCGACAACGTCTGCAATCGGAAGGACCGTGATAACCCTCTGATATCACTACAACTTGATATGCCTGTGAAATAGATCAACAAAGAAGCTGATATGTTGGTAATCACTGCACATTAAGCAAGCCATCCATCTCTCTCTCGTGCTCTTCTTCAACAGCTACTGACAATACTTTGTTGAACCAGGTATCGCCAACGTGTATGGCGTGTCCCATGCAGTTGAGAAGCTCCTCTCCCTTGGTAAACACCCTAATAAATAGTTGTGTATATGGGGTGGGGAAATCGTGTTCTGCAGGGGTTATCAAACGGACGTCAGCAATATCAGACACATCGACAAATGCTGGCTGGCAAGCTTCGTCTGACAGGTACTAATGAAGTGGCACAGGACACTGATTCTGCATTGGAATCGCATGCAATCTGACATGGCTTTCAAGGTATCTGCGGCGAATTTGCATAGAAGGCGACCCTGGCAAATCAAAATTAGTTTCATCTATCCATCAAGTCTGATGCTCCCATCGCTCGGATGGATTGCGCTTGACATGGAGATTCAGGATGATGTGATGTCCCAATTTCTGATAGTATGGTGAAAACTCACGAACAACGTTTTCACCCAAAGGTAAGGATGATGAAAGCGGATCAGAGGATGTGAAAGAATAAGGCCTTCAAGAGTCACAAGTCAAGTGTGAACGGGCTATCGAAATTTTGATATCTCTGCATGGAGAATGAGAGGACAGAAGGGATCTTCGCGATTGCTCTACAAAGCCGACCATGGACGAAACTATGGATGGAACTAACACCTCGAAAGAAAGCGTAAATGTCGGTGATCGGTTCTTGAAGCTTGAGCTCCTGAGGATGCCATTCGATGGAGCTCATAGGCTTAAAGCGCACATAGCTCCGCAAGAATGTCTGCCCGATTCGTGTGTTCCGTCCGACTGGCCCTACTATTCTAGAAAGCATGCAGTCAGAATCTGTCAGATAACGGCTTCAATTCCACGGGAACTTTGATCAATGTGAGCTCCCTCAGAAAAAGATACCTCAACCTTATACTTGCTCGATAATCTATCTACCGATCGCTCCCATGGCTGCGAGTTCGAACTGACGCCTGTGGGTGCCAGAGATATGTTGATATTGGATGTTTTACCTTCGGTCGAGAGGTAGAATGGAGTGAAGGTCTGATTTCAGCCGGAATCTCTGAAGTGATGCCATTGCTAAACCTGACCTCAGCGAACTATTCGTAAATCGATTCGTTATGCCACGACATTAATGAGCTCAAGACAAAATGAAGAAAGAACTTTTTTACATTAACATTTCCTATGTAACGCCAAACACTATGAAAGTAGCTTATGAATCCCAGAGGGCAGTTTGTATTTCGCTCCAGAATTCCGAATGGGCTTGCGAAGCTTCTTGGCAAGGAATCTGTTCTCATATTCTTAAAATTAGCCCGACCCCACTGGAGAATTGTCAACCCATACCTGCCCCTTTTCCACCGACTAGAACAGTGATGATCTCGAAAGGCAATACGTACCGTATGACGGCTACACACGGCCATACACATTAAGGTGATACATGGTTCTCAAATGACCATAAACCGCAACCGTCAAATTTGACTTGGAAGGTACGTGCGGTAACCATACTACAGCACCGTATAATCTCGTTGTACGGCCTACGGTGACCAGCCCTATATGCAAAGGTCACTACACCGACGACAGCGGGAGAATCTTGGCATAGTGTGTTGGGCTCTCGACGAGGCCGCTAAGACCAGTGGGGGTTGTTCTCCTAACAACAACGGATGAGTCCGTAAGGTGGCCTGCAGTACTGTTGTTAAGGAGTAGAGGGGGAGGATACCGATGACGGTGGGAGAGGTTTGTCATGGTATAACACGCTGGGGCCTCTCACCACAGCCTCTAGGACCGGGGGGCCACCCTCCAACGATGACGGATGAGTCCATGGGATGGTGTTTCTTGCGGAATTGAGGAGGCCCCAGAGAGAGGCAGGTCTCAGAGATAGGTTTCGTCCTACAACTTCGACACCAAGTTCAAATCAAACGCGAGAACAGCGGAACAATGCTGCGAAGGGTGAACGCTTGGCAGGTGCAGAAAGTGCTTGCAGGCTGTCATCAGCTTGCACAGTCAGCTGTGCAGTATCGCTATGGTGACCAGAATGAACACATCAGCAGAAGGAACCAACAATCTTGGAAACGCGCTGCGATTCAAGCCAAGTAGAATCAGAGGCCCGGGCTACCAAGAAGAGGAACTTGAAGACCGAACATCCATGTACTGCCATTCGAAAGAGTGCAAAGGTGATTGGAGTGCTTCGAAGTACCATACATAAATATTAGTTTAGGCAGGAGTAAGCCCCCTGCAGACAGGGCTATGTCCAACACAGGGTCTTCGACCTCAAAGGACAATAGAGATTCTTTTAAAAAGGCAGTGGAACTTGAGTTGAACCGTGACTGATGTCAACTGGGTTTGAAAATAAAACCGTAAATATACCACCAACTCAACCAAATAATCTGTTTTTGTCCTCGACCTGGACCGTGGTCCGCGGTTGGACGCAACAGTCAACCCGAGAGCTCACCGCCGTGAATCCCAATTAACTACTGCCGACAGAGAAACGTAAATGTGGCCGTCCGAAAGGGTAGAATGGACCAAATGCTAGCACTGTGGGCCGTCCAGTCGGACGCCAAAGGAAGGATGGAAATCTACGAGCATCCAAACAAAACAAAACAGCATTTGCATCAGTAGGTTTTTACTTCTGACCGAATGAAGTACAGGGATGTTGGGTTTTAAAATTTGTCCGTCACGAACATTGTGTTGAATTGTGGTCGTGGCAGTCGCCGCAGCAGTTGCGCAGCGTTTTCACGATGCCCTCGGCTATTAGGAACACCAAACTAGCTCCAACTAGAGAGGGAAGGTTTTCCTGATGGCATATCACAGGTACAGTCAGCTATCCATCACCATCATGCAACCGTCATGCTGATTGTGGCGATAGTATATTAGTACAAGCGCCTAGTGAGGCTGAACGATAGTCTTTTACTTGTTGACTTGAAGAACACAGCTCATCGGACAAACATCAGAGGAGCTGATACTCTCTGGCACGTATGTACGTGGTCTCGCATCTGCGGGCGCCGGGTGACGCTCAGATTCTGGTTTCAACAGTTTGGATACTCACCGCTGCTGTGGAGGAAGCCCACCTTCTGGCCTCGATGGTTTGGATGCTCAACACTGTTTGGGGGTCATCGCACTGTGTCTTTCACTCTGGATTGCTGTGAAACACTTTCACGACTTGCGACGACTCGGTCCAATGACAGGATCAATCATCGGGGACCGTTTCGGAGTGCTGATACGATCTCACGTGCTTTATTTTGCAAGGTGAGCTTGTAATGTCGATGTGGTTATCTTTTGTCTCAGGTCCCGCACGTGCTAACTTTGTTTGTGTCTCTTGCCTTGAGCTTACATCTCTCTCCAAAGCTCATGGTGCGTTAACCCTTCGCTGAGATCTACGTGTCACCACTGCTCATCATTTCTGCAGAATTCAATTTCTATCGGAACTCAGATACTTGTTGGTACTCTTCCGATTTTATTGGACGTGCAGATGTTTGTGCTGAAACCACGCCTCATCCTGAGCGTTCGAGAACATCATGCTAAGCTCGTGGCCGACTCCGATGCAGAAACTACTAGCGTGAAATCGATTATCTTCCAGGAGCGCAAGCGTGCATGTGTACCAACCAGCAGTAGGAAATGCTTGCCGAGTGCCACTGAGCGGTCTGCAGGGATGCGAATTTGGTCGAGGATCCGTCGTGGTACATATTTAACATGTGGTGTTTTTGAAAGGCCTAGGCAAACCTATTTCCTATCGTCTTACTACTGGAACGGAGTAGTTACCCACCCGCGTTTGCGCCAAGTGGCAAGCTAAAATGTAACCAAGTCCTTGAAGCCGATGCTAATATACAACGAGAATCTGCATAAGTCACCTATACAATTGATTCTACGTCACAGTCGTACTACGACAGCATTTAACGATGTGATCGCAGTACGTGCGCAAGACATCAGGGTCCTGCTCAATAGAGTACATCCTGCTGAGCAGGGCAAGCAGATGATCACTTGAAAGTTTTCACATGAGTCACTTTGGATGATAATCTGCTGTTCAAAGTACGTGTCTAAGCCTGGACAGCTGATAGACCAACCATTAGATGTGCTCACGGAATATCTGGTCATCATCTAGCTGAACACGAACCTGTATTCATGGAAGGCCAGATGCCTGATAGTACATGATTGCACCTGTGCGCGAGGAAAAATTTCTGTAGACCCATCTGAGCATGTCCACGTTAGGACTATCATATCCTCTGTCTGAGTAGAGAGGAAAAGGAGTGAAAGTAATCGTAGAAGCCCAGAGGGTTAATAACACATCAGTCCTGTACGCTACATATCGTGTAGCGCCGACATGAATTATCCATCCAGGCTAGAAAAATGTTGATGGAATGCGGGCCCCTGTCGATAATGATCAGAACACTTCACTCAAACATTGAGATTTAACACCGATGGTCATTGGAGTAGCATGTTATTCTGAGCTCAGACCAAGCGCTTCAGGCAGCTGATGCGACCTTTATTTGTGCGTGTGTTTGACCAAGTTGACTGAAAGTACTCAAGTGCTTTTGTTCAGTTTATTCGTTGAGACAGGCTATTCTAGTACATACAGCTGTGATGTACGAGTACCACTTGGAAAGCCTGGACAAACACAGATAGAAGACATTAAATTCCAAGATGCTGCTTCCATGTATAGAACCAGGTTATTCTAAGGCGTGTATTGTGGAGTCGGGTTTGTGCTGTAGACAATACATTGTACAAGCTGTTGCAGTTAAAGTGAATTCCACAATGCAGAAAAGACAAAAAGAACCTCACCTATGAAAACCGATGCGATATATGCTTCACAAGGGCCGTTTGGGAAGTAGCCTGATGATACGGTCTCGCTTGACTGTATGTCCGTCCTTCGCGAAATAGCGGGTGGAATCAAAGGACCAGTGAAGCACACCAACCATCCAGTCTTGCAGCCCTTGGAGGTAAATAGCCACCTGTTTGTCAAGCTCTCTGCTCCATGAGGGGAGGATAGCGCGGTTGTGTTCAAAGCGCTGGATAGCACCCCTGCACATCCAACCGGAATAATCTAGAGCGCCTTGCAAATTCAGGTCTTGTTCGCGCATGAGCACAACAACAAGATTATGTGTATCATGGCGAGATTGCTCCGCATTGTAAGAGAAAATATCCTGTCAAGAGTGATGTCAGCAGTGCCGACGACGTCTGACAAAGAATGAGAAACCACATTGGACCAAGTGATAAAATCATTGGCTGCCTCTTCCGTGGCTATCATGACTGGATGTGACATTACTTCATCAGGTAGATCAATCCCAGCTGCATATTCAATGAAGACAAAACAAGGCTTGCAGGCGCTCGTGTCTCGCCTCACGGTGATGTAGGATGTAAGATCAGGGATACGTTTCTTGGCACGATCGTCTGCCTGCTTAGCCACCGCAATGAAGAATAGGTCCATTGTGTGAATAAACCGCTCAGTGCAGCCAGAGCTGCTGGTCAGCCTAAAGCGGCTGAAGTACCTAATATGTAGACGGTCAGTCTCTAATGAAAATGTAACTCAATAAACCGGCGTACGATTTGCACATCTTTACACCGAGTTTTTCTGTCTCTGAGTTGATGGGATCACGAAGCGCAGAAATGCAGCATTCACGCATTCTCCACGTACTGTCGACATCGAACTCATCCAACCAGTCATCCATATTGAACAACCAGTTGAAGAAATCTGAACAGACTCGGAGATGGAAAGCATCGGCATCAGGGTAGCAAGCTGCGGCAAGTTCACCTGCGCGCAAACCCATAAATGTGGTAATTTCGGACTCTGTGAGATGTGTTCCGGTAAGAAGCCATTTTTCAGACGCGCGGGAGATTGGATAATAGCGAGGGTTCAGTCGCAGGGGATAATGGATATCATTGACAAGGTCAGGTAAAATGAATTCCGTAGGCTCAGAGTCGGAAAGAGTGGATGTATAGGTTACAGGAGAAGTCATGCTGTAAATCTGGATACACTAGGCGTAGGTTGGGGACATAAGCAATAGATTACTCTGGTACATACCCGCCTTTATAGTGGACGTGCCTTTCGCGGTCAAATCCGTATTTTGGGTTGGTGCTTACATTGCAGGAAAAGGGAACGATAAACACATGCCATGGCAGCAGTGCCGGTAACCGCTCGCTAGGCAGGGCATAAAGGTAGAGTGTAAGTAATCCAAACATGACCGCATACTCGCCACATAAGGTCACCACATAATGGAGTGCACCGGTCTTTGTAGGTTAAAAACATGCCCTGCCAGGTATGTGTAGACCAAAATGGTAAAAATTAGCGCCTGGTCAGTCAGCAACACCCAAAATCGTCAAAGCTGAACGAATTTGGGAAAGGTACTAGAGACCTCGTTCGGAGGCAAGTGAATTCCGAGGGCGAACGGAAGTCACAAAACCAGATAAACAACTCGGCTGCAAAAGATGAGCCGGATTTGGGGCGGGTAACGGATTCATATCATGTGCTATCCGTGAAACTGATTTCAAGAATAAGTCGCAGGAAGAGACGCAGCAACATTCGCCTAGGCCTCAGCATATTGAATTAATGTTTTTGGTACCGCAACGGCATTTCCTTCGACGACGTAGTGGAAAATATAGATGTCGATGTAAGATTGACAACATTATAGTCATCCATGGTGGATTGCTATGTATGATGATGTTTACGATGTCGAACTCACTGACGTGGAAACCGTGAGCATTCCAATCGATGAAGTTCACGTGCTTACTCACATCAAGAAGACGACTTCGCATGATATCCTATACAAGAGAAAATGGACTTCGTGTCAATGTATTCAATTAGTCTCTAAATCATGCCCCTCGCGTGGCATCTCTCCTGCGGGGTCCCATAGACTTCAGAATACTCCTGGTGCATTTTATGACATGACAATTGAATCCGCTTATCAGGAAGACTCACCAGGTTAGGTTCTTGCTTTCAGAAAAAAATTGTTGTTCGATCGTTGTCCACCAGGAGGTGCTTGTTGATTCTGTAAAAGCAACTGCTGTGATACGTTGCTACATAGTAACCTAGACGCGTGCAGCAAGTGGTCTGACCAGTCAGGCCGTCAGGGACAATACTTACTAGTGCTAAGTGGATCGTCATTGGGAGAAAGCTTACCAGATATTAGGAGTCTTGAGTCTTGACTCCGCCAAATGCTATTGTGTTGTGTCCAAAACACATTTGACACAATACAACAGCATTTCGTGGTACGGACTGTACGTAGCTGGCCAAAGGTCGAGTTTAAGCAGGAATAAGATAGAGATGTTGGGTTTGAAATTTGCTCGCGGATTGAAGTCCGCCCAATTGTACATTAGTAAGTTGTTACATAATACGACGGCCTCGTGATGTTCTGTGAGCATTTGTTATGTCAATGTTATGTATGTACTAAGTCTACAAACATACTATGGTTGACTATACATACCAACCTTAGTATAGTTGTCCTTGTCTTGACCGGGCCTAGTCTCTCCACTATCCTCGTGGTTTGCCTTATTACCGCTATTACCTTCATGTATCCGTCACCTTACATGCGTCCGCCTTGACCGACCGTTCCGCTCGCAAGGTCAGCTCCCGCCTTTCAATTCTTCCTACCTTCGACTTCTTCAAGGAGGTGCCACCCGGGGACTTTTTAGATGGCATGGATGTGATATTGGATGCTCGGGTATGTATCTCATTGTGTTATTCCTGCTAAACATGTAGATTTCGTCATGTCACAACCACCACACCGCTTCTACCCAGACATGCCATTTCAACCTTCGAGCACCTTCTAAGTTCTATATACCAACCACACTCTCCAGCATTAATCCAGCACCCAACTGTATCCACCGCCCGCGCACCCTCCAGCACCCCGCTATGTTCCCACCATATTTTACGGCACAGTCGCGGACCTCGTCACCGGTCGTCTATGCTCTCACTCTCGCTGTGTAGTCTCGTGCACTGGCAAGTATATTCTCCCTTCTCTTGGTTTTTTTTTTACTTTTGTACTCAGGACATTAAATAGTCTGCTCCATCATCCCATCTGTCCAATTGGCACATCCGATCTATCGCACATGTTTTTAGCACTCTCCGTCACGTATGTCACTCAACCCATCCACCTGCAGAGGCCACGATCTCCGATTTTATCAACATCCACTGCCTCCAACTGCTTCTTGCCTCTGTTTCTTCGCTGTGCCGTTTTCCCTCATCATCTTCTAGCATCTCCTGCCATGTTCACAACTATTCATTCATCATTTAACCTGCTGCGGCTACTGACACATTCTCATGGACCGTGGCTGCCTTGGCTGATCCAACCTACCACACACTTTTGTACCCACTGTTTAGCGATGACAAGTCAGCCGGCTGGTCCATCCGTATTTGCGTACGCTTTCCAATGTGTTGTGAGAAACTCGCATTTTGGTCTATCTTTTCTACTGATAATCCTACCACTACTCACCAGCCGGGCTCCGAGATCCTTCGAGTCTTGTGAGAATCAATTTACTTATGCCCACCATGATGGCGAACGCACGTAGGCAGAATGGTTACGAGTCTAGGTTCTATTCTGGGCACTAGGAACTTCCTTGTTGCTGGCCACTTGCTCTGGACTCTGCATTGGCGCCTTAAAGGACATGATTAATATAAACTCATTCGATTATTCTCTTGAAATGCAGCACTGAAGACTAATAGTAGTGCGTTCCAACTCTCAAGTCCTCCAGATTTCAGACTTCGGCCTTCTGGATTCTGAGATGATATAAAAATTCATCGCTGAAGTAGACCGCGACAGATGTGCATGTATCAGTCAAATGTCAGCGGCCAATATTCAATTCCAAATCAAGTTGATTTTCTGGCTTATGTTGTCCCGCAGTGTCATTTAGCGTTCCATTTATCCTCAATATGCGCTAGTATTAACTACTGGTAAGAAACAATGGTTATTTTTGTCGGTTTATGACAACTCGAGCAAGACACGTCAGAGCTCCGGAAGCGACAGGTAACAACATCCCATAGAGGACCAAGAAAGCAAAGAAAGGTCACGGTGGCACTGACCGCGTCTCGAGATGACTCGGATGCCCGCGGGTGCAGTCACTCGTTCGGAAGAAAGGAAAACAACATTGCACCGGGAGGAATCAGATTACAATGTAGAGGTGGTTGTTTAACGTTTAACGACAAAGATATACAGTCGTTGCCAGAAACAATATATGGAAGGCCTGATTTGCAGACTGGGAGTACGCCTGACTGTGACTTTGTCAGCGTGTATATAAATATAAGCATGCCCGACTCCATGGTTCGTTTGGAGCACTGGGAGGTTCCAGTGACTAGCAGTTAATGCTCACTAGCACTCACCGTTTGGTAGCACCGCAACAGCGGTCGCGGCAGTTGCCGCAGTACAACCGCAGCATTTTCACGACACTGCCCATTCTATTGCTGGATTAGGTACATAGAGGAGAGCTTCCATCACAACTGGTTCTTCAAGATACCTTCCAATATCGGTCGACTTCATGTCTTATCTGCGTAGTTGGTTTTCGCTTGATACCTCAAGTCCCGTGACCACAGTTGAGCCCAACGACTCCTACCCAAACCAGTCACTTCCAGTCCTAGAAGTTAATGAAGATGACGAGGACGATGGGTCGGACACGGCAGGTGAAGACGACGCACCGCCCGCTTTCCCAGCGATCAACAGTGCACAACGTGCTGCTACTTCGCCTTCTTCATCTTCAGACTCATCCAGGGGATTCAGCATACCGAACATACTCACCGACTCTGCATTGATGCCCCCGCCGCCTGCGCCCGGTCTTGCTACACGCCGACCGGGTGTTCCGCCTCCACAGAGTTCATCGTCTCTTCTTGCACCTATGACTACGACTCAACCACCCAAACGACTTTCCAAACGGGATAAGGTTGCTTTAGCGCCTGGATTTGGTCCTCTTGATTGGGGAAATCTCAAGGCATCTGGCCAGAACCTACGCGTAAGCAAGTCGATGGCGTCTCTAGTGCGATGTAGTGAGATTTTATCAGGGAGTCGATGCATTAATGCGCATTCCACCATCTGTGCTTAAGTTGCACAACAAGAAAGAGGATGCTTGGACAGCGATCAATGGGAAGGTCTATAATATAACACCCTACCTCCCATATCATCCAGGTGGTGAAAAGGAGCTCATGAGAGTAGCGGGTAGAGATGGAACTAAGTTGTTTTGTGAGTACTTGTCATATCTTTATATGGGCTGCATCATTGAACGGGATAACTTAGCCCTGACACATGCATGGGTGAATGCGGACTTCATGCTTGATGCATGCCTAGTCGGATTTCTAGTTTCAGAACCAAGCTAATAATTGGTGGGACGTGACGTTGCATATAATTGTTTAAACTAGAACTGCGTGCTGCTATCGATATCTGTACCCGATCATCCGATCACTTGCTGTGCTACGACGGGTGCCGCATAGATACTGTGATGTACTTGGCGCCCAAACCGGACCGCCACGAGATGGACATTTGAGCTGCGGTTGCTTGTGTGTTCTTCTTCTGCTAAATTTGTTCAAAGCCCTAACAGGTGACTACCAGAGTTATCGCAATCATAATATCTAGTGCCGCAACTCACTACAAGACTATGGAAACATCCTGTCACCTTAATCCGATAGAAACGTTGCCATGCGGCTGAAGGCACCTCTGGAACTCGGTCATCCGTCGAAGAACGCAGCGATGCATCAATCGTCACAATGTAGTTCAGAATATCTGCTTCGCATCCCAAAATGGTAAGTGTGTGATGTGGTTGCGCAATATGACCTTCGACTTGCACCACACTCCGCATTGAGTTTCAGGGAGTGGTCGCCTGACCTCTTTGTTCCAATATAAAGGACGAGGAATTTGCAACGCAGAAGCTGACAATACATTCTTTCCTTTTAAATCACGACAACATGGCACCAGTAGCTATCAGTGAAGAAAGCGGCAATGGAACTATCAGCAGTGTTGCAGAGTTGAAGAAAGTTCAAGCCAATCAACGGATAGAGGAAACTCGGGTTATAAATCCCTTCTACTCGCCCAGTGCTGGTAACGAGAACGACGATGACTATTCATATGCCAAGTATAAGGTGAGTGACTTCGGATTTCAATCTCACAGCCAAAGACTGATGCTTCATCAAGCCCCGCTTCCCCGTTGTTAATTGGGAACCGCTCACAGAAATTGAGGTCACCGACCGCGGCCACTTTGCAGATTCAAGCAAGACGGCTCTCTTCAGTGCTGCACAGAAAGTGAAACATCTTACACCCGCCATTGGCACAGAGCTCGTTGGCATCGACCTCCGCCAGCTGACGGATCAACAAAAGGACGAACTGTGGGTACCATCTACACGACTGCAACTATGCTTTAATGAGTTTATCATGCCAGCGCCCTTCTTGTTGCGGAGAGAGGCGTTGTTTGTGAGTGAACCTAAATAGGTCTCCTACTTGGTGAACTAACACATCCCTCACGCAGTCTTCCGAGACCAGGAGCTCAGCATCCACGAGCAACTTGACATTGCTAGACACTTTGGACCCCTTCATAAGCACGCGACGACCCCCGTCCCTCGAGAACCAGGACTTGAGGAGGTCCACGGTGAGTCAGATTGTTGAGAAAACTGCGTGACTGTTAATTTCATCCTTCAGTCGTTTACAATGACGCTTCCCGACGCCCTGACGCTAGCGCGTTTTCGAAGATCGAGCTTTGGCACAGCGATGTGACATACGAGATCCAACCACCAAGTACCACGTCTTTGAAGGTGATTACTTGTCCCGAGTATGGCGGTGACACGCTCTGGAGCTCTGGGTAAGTAGCAGAAAATGGCTCATTGTGCAAAGAAGTTATGTTGATGATCACGTACAGTTATGCTCTTTATTCCTCCCTCAGTCCTGGCATGCAGGTATACCTCGAGGGTCTTACAGCTCTGCACAGCGCCGTCGCGCAAGCAGACGGATCTCGCGCGGCTGGCCTCCACGTCCGTCGCGAACCTATTGAAAGCATACATCCCGTCGTTCGTGTCCACCCAGTAACTGGCTGGAAGAGCGTTTATGTCAACCCTGGCTTTACTCGTCGCATACTCGGCGTCCCTAAAGCTGAATCCGACACCATTCTCAATTTCTTGTTCCACCAGATCGCCGAGAATGTCGACTTCCACGTGCGCTTCCACTGGGAGCCGAATTCAGTCGCGTTCTGGGATAACAGGGTCAGTGCTGTTTCTACTCAACGAAGAGCACAGAGTTTGACCAGATACTAGATTGTGACTCACACCGCGACTTTCGATTTCTGGCCTCAAACTCGCCATGCACTCAGAGCTACGCCTCATGGCGAGAAACCTGAGTCTGTTGAAGACTATGAGAGCCGTACAGGCAAAGCGGCGAAAGATCGCCAGATTGAGATCTGGAAGGAGCAGGGAGTCGAGATTCCTCAGTCGAAGAAGGGTCTGTCTCGGGCACGCGGATGTAATGACTGAGATGTTGGTGTATGCTTTGATTGCAGAGTATGACAGAAGTTCAAGCCATTGTGGCTTTGAGACAGAGCGAGTGAACAGTTACGCAGCAAAAGCCTTTAATCCAAACATAGAGACGTCGAGGCTAGCAGATTTTCCGGCCATACTACCACTGGTGAGGACTTCAACGCACCCTCCGCAAATAGTCTTTATTTAGGTTCGAGTATACCATCCGCTGCTACAAAAGTCTACAAAGTTCCCGTCTCGACAAACGCCCACCTTCAAGTTGAACTCGAAAACTTGAGCACACAACGGGCGGCAGCCCTGCGCCATCGAGTTCATTGCGCACCAGCCTCGCCTCAATCCCCGACAGGTAACCATACTCCGAGACTTTCGGCGTCGTAATTGCTTGATGGTCCCTCGCGAATCGCGACATTGTGCTCAAATTATAGACATTGTATCGCAAACATATTACGAGAAGACCACAAAATGTTGAGATGCAACACTGAAGTGCTCCAGTCAAAATACGAGCAGATAAATTATATGGTTCTTCCTCCTTATTAGTCCTCAAACATCGCAAGCGAAAATGATACACACATATGATAGTCATGAGCTCTCAGAACCCTCGCCATTAATTGCATTGTTAAAACTTAAGCAGCACTTTGCCAGACGGAATAGTTGTTTTCCGTCCCGATCGATGGCAAGCGATAGCGGAGTAGAGATACTCATACCATCCCGTGCTGTGGCACCCAGATAATCGGCAAAGTTACGCAGGGCTCTTGTGTGATGACCGATACGTCCTGAAGTCTCCGCATCCATATCTGAGTGATCCTCGAATCCTCGTAAAGCGCGTTCGTAGTCGAGCACACACCGGATCAGATGAAAGAAATTTCCTCCGTCCCGCTCGACAGCCTCCAGAATGCGATTGTCCGTTTCATTCTCGCGGAGGCTGTCAAGCCAGTCAGCAAATTTGGAACAAAGTGAGACGATTTCTGTGTCTAGGCTTGAGTTTGAGAAATACGATGATCCATCGGAAGAGCCATGTTCATCGCTCTTGTAGCCTTTCCCGTGCTGGATGTTTTCTCAAAGTCAGTGCAACACTTGTGGAGACTTGAAAAACCCTACCTGTTTCCTTGGAGGCTGGCGTCCAGTAGATTTGCGAGCGATATTCTTCCGGTGGCGCTTCACTCCACCAGGGATGGAAGTTGGACTTGGATGAGAATCTGACACAGAGATGTTGAACGACATGTGAGTGTGTGGCACAAAGGTACTGGTGTACGTCCGAGCTTGTACGTGGGAGAGAGTTGCTGTTATGTAACAATTATAGGCGCGTGTATTCCTCAGGTACGGTAAATTGAAGCATCTTACTCGGACATTGTCATGCACGTCCCATCCCATGGACATGCCATGAGAGGTTCAGTACACCATGAACTGCACTCACACCTTCCCCACGTCTCTTTGGAATCAGGTACAAGACCGCCAATATTAATTTTCAAGATTGGGTTCGTTTTCGAGGCTCCAGAGAAACGTTCGACTAGGTTCTCGCAAGCGCACTTTTAGTACAGCTTGTGCAGTCTTCCCTCCTTGCCAACCATCCGAATCGGGTTCCAGGAATGTTATGGCCAAGTGAGGTGAAGTTTTCGGAGACTCGCCATCCAAATTCCAATGAGTCACTGAGAGTATGTGACAACCTCGGTATTGCCCACGTCAGCGGCTAGAAGGTGTGTACAACAGACCTAAACGAACAATCTAGACTCATGTTAGACCAGCGGACGTAATCGATAACAGGGCATATGGTGTAGCTGGTTATCACATCCGCTTAGCATGTTGCTAGAGTGCGGGGGGTCTCCGGTTCGAGTCCGGATTTGTCCACTGTTTTGCTCAAGAATCATAGGCCCAGCAGTACAATGTTTTATTGAATCTTCGTCAAATCGAATTTTCAAAGATCTGTCGCCGACTCGCCGATAATCAATGCATCTATCCTTTCTTGTGATAAACCAAACATCTATACACATAGCTTAGTGCTACTACGTACCTAATGGGAGCTCCAGAGGACATGCTCACATGGCACATGGAACGCACTGACACCATTGGCACTAGAGGAGTGATTCTCCAACCTTTTCTGTTCCCCGCAGTTTGTAATCGATTGGATGCTTCTACTTCTTGGAAGTACGATGTCGAGTGTACAGCTAATTCATCATCGATGTCATCCATCGTATATACACGTAACATTACATTTGAGGCCTCGTGGAAGAACATGCAAAAAATGATCGATGAGATCTCATAGAGGTGACTTATCATATCAAGAGGCATGTTCAAGTTGGGCGCGTACATACTACAGGCAGATTCCACGAGTGACTACGAAACGATACACACTGCTGTTGGGCGAAGAAATGACACAAATGAACGAAAGCATTTCTCGTGTGCACAGAACCATGATTTTGATCACAGGGCTTCATACTTCTTATAACTTCGCTATACAGCGGACATACTGGGGTCAACTTGAACCTTATTCTGAGCACACATGAATGACTGGAAGAAAGCCTTCATGATCAGAACCTGGTCAGTTTTACCATAGCACCATCGCTCTCATTCATGCACTGATGCACATCAGACACGAGGAATTCAAATAAGGTACATTGGGTAAATATGCTGATACGAGTAGAACCGTGATCGTTCGAGAAGAGGAATTTAATTTGTCGTGGCATACGTGTACTCAGTGGTGGCGAACCCGACTTGGGAGTTCGTTGTGTCGTACACCGAGTAGAACCGTTCGCTGTGGAAGAACAATTTAGCAATTTACTTTCCCGGCAAAAAATGTAGCTCAACGTACAGGAAACAATAGCCGTTCGTAAAATCCAAGCCAGAACCGCTGCTGTCCCCACTGTCGCTGACGACCAGGTATATGCCGTCGGTGGTACCGCCAATGGCGCTGTTCAACGATCGAGGCCAGATTTGCCCATTCGGGGTGAGCTCATAAGCAATTCCACCGATAGTGAAATACAAGGATGCGAGCTGCTCGTACTGGTCGGATGAGATCTGTAACAAGCCAGTGGTCTTATCGAGGATCGCCCCCGTCGCAGACTGATATACACTGAAGGCATCTGAATAATGGATTAGAAGGATTTTGATGTCGTACAGGACACCTACCGGAGGCAATGAGGATCAGGGTGGTTCCTGTATCGACAATACCAGCTGTCTCATCCAGAATGGGCGTAGACCCATACATGATGGATTGATCGATGCCCCAATATGTACTCGCTGGAAATACTGATGTGACAGGCACATAGTTGATTCTTCCAGTAATTTTGGAGGCGTCATAACTGCCAAACGTGAGCTCGCCACTGCTATCACTAGAGGAAGCAGGTGCGAAGAACACTCCGAGTACTTCTGAACTAATTGTTTTCTGCGTATAGAGGTTGTCCATCACAGTTGCAACTTCAGATGTATCATCGACGAGGCCCTGCGTCAGATCAACCGGTCCAAGACCAAGAATTCCATCCAGACTACCCATCTGTGAGGCTTGAGATGCAACGCCAATAGATTGGCTGTTAACAACCAAATCAGAGTTGAGCGTCACAGTGTCTGTGTATTCCTCTCCAGAAACCGAACTCCCATCGGCGTATGGAACTTTCTAGAAACGATTCAACAAAATGTGTGTCACGTAGAAACAAATACTCACAAATTTATGGAGTGTGTCCCGGCTCGTGGTAGTCTGCTTGTAAGCCTTGTTGCTCCCGATCCAGGTATTTGAGCTTCCGGTGTCTACCAGGAGTGTGTCTGTATGAAATTGACAATGCGTCAGATAAAGAATTTGCAGGAGCAAGAGCAGCTTACAGTACGTTGCTGGACTCCCCACGCCAACGTCAGCGGTGTATGTCGTCACAGTATTGGATGCATTGACGGAAGAGCTTCCACCAGCTTGAAGGACTTTGAGTCGAGCTCGATCTGCAGCTGCGATGTTCTTGATCCCGTATGAGTTTATTCTAACGGCAAGCTTGAGAGCAGCTGTGGTTGACGCTGTCCGAGGACGAGGCAAAGCGCTTGCTGACAGTGAGAGGAAGGCAAGCGCCAAAAGGGCAAGGAGAGATGAATGTGATCCGGAGGAAACCATCTTCCTAATGACATCCTTCCTAGCTGGGCCGTTTTATATGGTGGTCGGTATTAGACCATCAAAACGTTATTCTAGCAATATCACGGAGGCGAACAATAGCAAGGCTTCGAAGTGACTACGTTAAGTTGAAATGTGACTGGTCCCGGGGCTCGTTGCATGAAAGTAAATTCGAGTCCTATGAAATTCATCTATGCAGGAATGATGAGTGTCGGTTAGTAAGTACTAGCTGCAGCAGAAGTCTGACAATGACCTTTGAATGACCTGTAGAATTTTACTGCAGAACCTGTTTAGCAGAAACCGTCAGTAGCATTAGTGTCACTGAGAAGCGCGTGATTCTGCAATTCCAAACTTATTTGAACATTATTTACATGACGAAGTTCTGCACTTACTTGATTTAAAGTTCAACATTCTGGAAGTTCTGAAGAATGCGTTCGAACGCTAGTGGTAGCTTGATCAAGTCATAAAGTATTTGTGTGACTTGCATTGATAGCGGAATATGGTCTATCGACAAAGATACGGAGTCCAGACGGTGTTGTATATGAATCTTATTTGTTGATGCCGAACGTTGCCGAACCTGCCAGTGAGCGGAGTTTATAATGTAGTTGTACTATTCACATTTTCGTCACTGCGTAAATCAGAAACTGTTGGAGCCTCTGCTTTTTTGAATGCTGGCTATGTAGCAAGGCTACCAATACACTGTTTTTTTTTCAGGTCTTGTTGCTGCCAAAGCCATGGTCTGAATCTGAGTCAACAATGCCCCGACTTTGCGGAATGCGTCGGACTGTGAGCCTCACGGCAGCAAACTTTATCAATATTTATCCTGCATCACACTCTCGGAACACCCACATCATTCTGTAGACTTATTCATAATATGATCTCCCTGCCAGCACTGTACAAACTACTCTACTTTTGCTATAAAAAAACTGCCTTCGGACATGTTCGTTTCCATTAGATTGATCAATATCATCAGTCTCCGTGAATCGAAGGCAGTCATTGTGCATTTCAACGGACTCAGATTGACTTAGATTGCTCGTACTCGTGGGTTGCGCAGGTTTGCACACGGTCTTGATTCTAGGACAGCCCGTCGTTACCAGTCTACACTCGTCATTGCATAAGACTGTCCTCGACCATTATAGATCTGCACAGATCGAGTTATGACTAGGTGTGAACCTTGTTTCATCGCCGTGCTTTGCTGTTGCCACAGGTTAGCCTAGTATATCATAGATTCATGTATTCAACACAGGATGGACCTACACTGGAATTCCAGAGCCAAGACAGCGACTGCAACGGTCAAGCTTCTCGAACGACAGAATATCAACATCAAAGCCATGGGAATTGGGAAACATCTGGGCATTTGAAGCGCTCGGGGAACCACAAATAGGGCGGATATACGGTGCAGCAACATTTGTATGGCAAGTCTTCTAGGAATACATTAGAATAGGCGGGAGCAAGCCCCCCGCGATTAGGGCTATGTCCAACATAGGGTCCTCGACCCCAGCGGACAATAAAATTGATTTAAAAAAAAAAGTCTTCTAGGTCATGGTGATTGCATCATTCAGGCTGAGTATTTCCATGCAAAGATGGGGAATGGGATGGTTACCGTGCGCTTCATCGTGTGAAGATGTGGTGCCACTGCTACATGTTGCGACTCGGACATGTGCCAACTGTTTTGGATTTGTACCTTTGGCACCCTGTGAAGCTTTGAAGGCGGGATAAGGATTCTAAAGCGACGATATCTGTCTGTACGATGGCTATGCATGTGCAAGCATCCGACTACGATGCAACTTTCATAGCCTGCCCATGAAATTGCTGAGCATAATGAAGGTCCGACAATGGCGTGCTCGGTTTATCTGATGGGTCTAGCTTTTAGCTCCCAACCTTCACCGGCTCCTACTGAAGTCGGCACTACAAAACACCACCGAAATACAATGGCCGCTGACCGAGGCTGTACAGAAGTCAGGCCTTTTTGCCTGTTGCAGGCTTCTCGTCTCTGATGTGCGATTTCTCTTTCGACCTAGTATGTATGGCATCTTATATTTAACAGGTATCAATCACACAGCACGAGTCACAACTTGAATGTATCCGCCAGTGCAATGCATCAGCATCGCATCAACTTGAAGTGCACGATCGGATCCACCGAATAGAGTGCGCTGTCGTGTTTATTTTCTGACTTTTGCCATTATGCAGAATGTGACCTTGTTACAGAAAGCAAGTCTCGAGCTTGGCCAGCGAAGCTAAGAGAACACAGATGCTCATTGTGATCAGATCATAGATTAATGGCCACACGGTTTGATACTACACCTCGAAAATGTCATTGGAAATAAGTTTGCGATATCACTAACCACTGGTATTTTCCTGGTATCTGAATAGTTGCATGCTTAATACTGGTTTGTAAATCAAATTCTACTTGAATTATCCAGGGTTTGATTTCGAGTGAATGTCAGCGATTTGGCCAGTCTGGGGCCAAAGTCCGGGGCGGAGTCTGGGGCCATTTGCCCAATCAAGGGTATTGCGGCGGGGCCAAATATATATCTCCATCATACTGATTTTAGCTGAACGGTGGTATATAGCACGAACGCTGTCGTCATACACCACTAACCTTCCCCACTCGCTCACACCCATCCCTCGAACATGACCTACGTCTCAAATGATCCCAGTTGGTGGCCGGAAATCAATTGGTATATTCTTTTCAGCTATTGGATAGGTCTGTCGCATAAAGATATCTAGATCTAACGTTGACTTGCGGTTTGCAGTTGTCGCGGGCGTCGTGGTGGTATATGATTGGGGTGAGCAGGACAGTGTTCGAAAACCGCTGATATTCTCATGATATTTCCAGTCTTAACACTCGGACAAGAGGTACGTCGATGTTATCGCCCCAGCAGCCAACTCGCTAAGAATGGTGTCATAGATTGAACTCATCTGGGTGAGTCACAAGGATCCCATATCAGAAGAAAACAAGAGAATCCACTGAATTTGCGACAGAGACAACGTTGGTCTCTCATGACTGTGCTGTATCTGACTGTTCGTACCTCTTGTTATGCTTTAGCGTGGTGGGCAACTTGTGCTGACTCCAAAATGTTCTAGATACGCTATATGGGAATACTGTATTCTGTGTATGTGTCGAGATCAACAACTTTGCATTGTGCTAACAGCTCATCTCTGATAACTAGTATCAATGTTCTGAGTATGTCTCATATGCGCTGTGTTCCATTTTTCTGACCGGCGGCACACAGAAACTATGCCATCGGTATCGCTGACAGATGCAGTAAGTATTCTGCAACCATCTCATTCCCATCCAATCAATATGCTCGTATGTAGGGGCGAGTGAAATTCCAAGCATTGAACTTGGTTCAACATGATAACTCAATACTAGGTGTAAGTCGGAGTCTTTGATACTAGTAGTGCCAGGGCGTTCACTAATTGGGAGCTTTAGGCATTATCATGTACTCCGCAGTAAGTTGGATAAATACGGCCTTGACTGCCATGTTGGGCGGTAAGTGACCTAGGTGCAATACCTCTGGAATATTGACCTGATTGACACACGATGCAAGTGATCATGGTTGCTCGGTTGCATGCCATGTATAAGGGATCTAGAACGATGCTTATGATCCTTGTTATTATCTTCCTGGCTGTAAACATCGCCTGCGTGGTAATGGCGGCAATGGCACTCAACGATACTGTAGCAGGTAAGCCTCCCTTGTTAACTTGAAGAACACGGCTCATTGGGCAAACACCAGAGGAGTTCATACTCTCTGGCGTATATATGTGCGGTTATGGAGATGATGGGAACGAGCAGCTTCTGTTTTCGATGGTTTGGATCCTCAACACTGTTTGGGAGGTCCTCGCTCTGTGTCTTTCAGTCTGGATTGCTGTGAAACACTTCCGTGGGATACGGCGATTCGGCCCATCGACAGGATCGACCATCGGGGACTGTTTCAGAGTGCTGATACAATCTCACGTTCTTTATTTTGCAAGGTGAGTTTGTAATGTGAACGTGGTTGAATTTTTCCGCTCAAGTTCTGCACATGTTTTTTTTTTTTTTTTTTTTGAATCAAATTATTGTCCTTTGGGGTATACTACCCTATGTTGGACATTACTATATAGTCTAGGGGGTCCCTGTACCCCGCGCCTCATCTCTAAGTATACAGATGCCCCAGGATAGGTTGTACCTTCCTGGTCCGCCGTTCCCGCCGGCCGTTTTAGGTGTACTACTTATCGAAGATGGGCCGACTGTTCTACTGGTAACGTTTGATGATTCTTGGGTGACAGTGAGCATTTGGTCGTCGAGAACGCGTACTCGGCCGCCGAGGCGACCAAGGACAGGAAGCTATGATAGGAGTGCACGAAAGGTGGGGGATGAGAGTTTGGTGAGGTGCTGAGAGTTGGTGTAGCGTAGGCCATTGATATTGGTTTCGTGCGTTGGGGTCTGGGCTATCATTGTCCGTTTTCCTCGTGTTCAGCTTGTCTCCCCTAGCTTCTCCCCTGCATCTTCAATAGCTGAATCCTACTGGTTTGAGGCCGGTGTCTTCATGTCGAGAGTAGTAAGAGTATAAAACTTTGACGAAAGTGAGCCCGAATGGGTCTGCAACTGGAACTTCTGATCATTAACTATTCATGAGGCGGTGGAAGAGAGACGTCACCAAAGGTAAGTTTGAATCTGCCTGTGCTATTGACGTAGCGAAGGAAATGTTCTACAGCTTTGGGGTCTGCCAGTAAGAATGGTAACGAGGAGGCTTTTCTGCGGAGCGCGCATGTGAGAATGTGACGTTCTCGATCATATTGAGGGCATGTGAATAAGAAGTGGTGAATGGTTTCGGGAGTGTGTGGGCATATAGGGCAAGATGGAGTGACGCTGCGGTTGATGCGGTGAAGGTGGTGGTTGAGTGCGATATGGCGTGTCCGGAAGTACATGTAGAGTCCTATTAATCTCTTAGGGAGTTTCTCCACCAATTTCACAAAGGAGCACTGTAATAGAGATGGGTCAATTTCTTTCATGCGTGCATAACGAGGAGATTTCTCCCAGAGACAAGTCCAGTGGGCGTTAGTTCTTTCCTTGTGAGCTTGTTTGATGGCTGAGATACTGCTGGGGAGGCCTTGACGAAGGAATTCTGGTAGACGTTCGAGTGCGCTGTTGGATGCTGAGCCTTCCGAGGCTTTCTTGGCTTCTTTGTCTGCTTTCTCGTTGCCATATACCCCACTATGCCCTGAAATCCAGCGTACAGTCAGTGAGTAATCGTCGCGGTTGAGAGTTTGGATGCGCTTAGTCATTCTGCGAAAACGGTCTATGATATAATGTCCTGCTCTTGGATCTGTGATGTCGCCTGATTGGATGACCGCTTGGTTGTCAACTAGTATAGAGATCGGAAATGTTAGATGTCGTTCAGTGGCGATCAACTTAGCTGCAAGTGTTAGACCGACGGCTTCGGCTTTGTATACAGTATGTTTCTTATCAGTGCCAAGGTGGTACCGCAGGATCCTTGGTCTATTTCCTGCTCGCATTAGTACTGCTGCTGCGCCGATCTTACCATTCAGTCCTGATCCGTCACAAAAGATTTGAATTTCGTCTTGCAATTCAGCCTGTTCTTGGATAGCGTCTTCTCGGGATGCGGCTATCTTCACCGTATAAGGGCAGCTTGTTGCGGGTGTTACGTCGACTGTAGGTCGGCGTAGTGGGAACTAGGATAGGTCTTCTCAGCGACGACTCGAGTGAGTCTACTGAAGCTGAGCGTGGTCTGGCCTTGACGGAACGTCAAGGATTCCTCCGGCGATCTCGGTAAGACGGCGCTCGTCGAGATGCAGGGCTAGCGGATACGTGCAAAGTCGTATGGGGGCGACTTTGAAGTGCGGTCTCACACAAGGAAGCTTGTTAGGCTTTAGATGAGCAAGTTCTTGGTAGAACCTAGTAGATTAAAGTGAAGTATAATCTACAACAATGTGTCTACTTATACATAGGATAAGTAAGCGTTCAAGCTCAGTCTATAATCTATAGTATATCGCTAATCTAAGATAGCTAGACATGAGGTTAGATAAAGTACATGAGGCTTAGCCTCTGATCATACATGCAGCGCCAAGTGCAGCTGCGTAATCAACAGGAGGCGCATAGAAGCGCTCCGGGTCTTCATACATGAGGCGCCAAGGGCGCTCCGGATCTTCATGAAGCGACATGCTGTGTACATGCGCTGATCTAGGGTGTCCATGAGGCGTACAGCCTCCATGGAACAGGTACAAGGCCGTCTAGGCCAGGGGCGGGGTCATAGCGCCAGGGGGCGGGGTCACAGCGGTCCAGACCACTGTCTTTCTAGGCGCAGGCGGTGCACCGTCGCGCGGGGAGTCTAGCAGAGCGGGGGCAGGCGTAGGGAGAGCTGGGGCTCTAGTAGGTGTTACAGATCCCTGTAACATTACCCCGTTACTAAGGTTGAAGTCACCGGCTTCAATTAATACTACGTCCAAAGGCTGGGAGGACGGTGCGGGTGTCGAGGGAGTTGCTGGCACAGGCGTCAGGGGTATCGGCGTCGCGGGCATAGGGGAAGGTGGAATGGGGAAGGCGAGCGCGAGGTCGGCGAGTGCTTTATGGTTCTGCTCCCAATCTAAGAGAGCTTCGAAAAACTTCTCTTCATCTGAAAACTCTTGGAGCACGATGCGTCCCTTGAGTCCAGGGCAATGGATCGATAAATGATCCGGTCCAATCTCGCTGCAAATGCAGCAGACGTAATCCGGGCACTGTCTAAAAGTGTGCCCGTATCCTCCGCAACGTTTACAAAGCGTGCGGGTTCTATCCATCGTGGCCGTTCTCTTTCTTGGCAGGGGGCGCACGGGTCTAGTTTCTTCTTCGGCGCGAGGCTTTGCTGAGGCCGTCCTCACCGCGAGGTTCACGAGGTCGGGGAAGTCGAGCGGTAGGAGGTGAAGCGCCATTGCGCGAATTCTTTTCTGAAGGTGGAGCATGGCGAGCGTCCGAGTACCTTCGTCTATGTCTACACGAAGTGCGGCGTCTTCTAGCATCTTCGTGGTCTTTATGATGTGCACAGCGAGGGAAGTGCTGGCAGCAACGGTCGCGCTCATCTCACCAAGGATGTTGTCGATCTCTTGGGAGTACGCGGGGGTGAGGATAGCGGTTTCACTGAACGCGCAGTTCTCAATCGTGCCGAGGATTCTTCCGTAGTCGGAGTCCTTCAGCGTGACGATGGTAGGGGTTTCGGTAGGAGTCGTCATGATGATGGGAGTTTCTGAGGAATATACGGCCGTAGGAGAGTGTCTTTATGTGTTCCTCCAGGTCGTTCCAAGCTCCGCTTGAGTCAGACTTATCTTTCGTTCTAAACCCTATCAAGGTTCAATCAGCGAGGGCGTGTCGCTCCTCGGTTCTTAATCTATCATCAGAGGGTGATAATCATTGCCATGATGGGTGGGCGCGTTCCGTTATCTTTTGTTGATACGGTCGGCGGATCTAGAGGATCTAGCGGGCTTGCAGGAGTTTCCGAAAGGTTCGCCTCGTGATAGTTTAAGCGTCTTTCCGGACGATCAGGGGGAAGGTAAGGGCCGTGAGGCTTGCAGGAGTTTCTCTGGGGATTCCCTCGTCTTCGTTCGTCTTCTGGATCTTTTTGTTAAAGTCGGATCTCGAAGAGTGGTCTAGTTTAAGCGTCGTTTCGGACGTACGGTGTCGTAACCTTTTGTTAATTGCTTTACGCGAGGTCGAGGACAGGGGGTATCCAAGCATAGGGGGCCGGAGGGTGTCCGGGGTCGTCCAGCGAGGAAGATAGTTTAATGTCGTTTCAGACAGTCTTAGTTTAATGTCTTTCCGGACAATCGCGCAGTTTATAGTCATGCTGGACTCGGACCTAGTTTATAGTCGTAGCGGACTTGGGTCTAGTTTAGCGTCATAGTGGACGTGTCGGCGAGAGTCGAAAGGGGAGGAGACCTATTAGATCGAAAAAGGTGTGGAAAAGGTAAAAGCAAAAGGTAAAAGCAATGATGAATTTACCCCGTCACTAGGACGTTGATCTACCACGATTAACGAAATTAAAAGTCCAATTCGAGTTCTCCGCAGTCAGGGTCGTCAGAAGGAGAGGCGAAAATGAAATCGCCGATCGTCCGAATATATGAGGATCCGGGGTCGTCTTCTTCGTCAGAATCGGAGTCGGACTCATTAGAGTCCTCATCAGCCGATAAGGCTGGGTTAGGAAGCGCGGGCGGCGTCAGAGGACGCGCATTCAAGCGCTGGATCACCATGTCGAAGTAATCTTCGACTGGGTTCTGGTTAGGGTCAACCGATGATATTTGTACATCGGTTGCTGGGGGTGTCGCGGGGCTTACAGCATGGCCCGGTTCGGTGTCTTCGCTGTCGGACATAGGCATGTCCTGGTGACAGAGAGGGACGGGTTCTTCGATATCGAACCGCAGTTTCTTGGCTGCCGGTCGATCTGCCGTGAAGACGGCTCTTCCTTTTCCGAGAACAGATACAGGCTCTCCGGAAAACATAAACTTCGTCTGAGTTTTCTCTGGTTCAGGGGCCAGTCTAGGGTGCTTGGCAGGGGGTGGCTCTGCAATAGCGATAGCGCGTCCTTTGCCAAGGACAGACGCGGGTTCTGCCGAGAATTTCACATTCGGCTCGGAGGCGGCGGAAGGCCTCTTCTTTTCATTAAGAGTCGGGAAGGGATTCTTCGGGACTGATGGGGGCGCCAAAGACGTAGAAGTCTTGACGGCTTGATTCCTCACAGCTTCTTCGGGCTGTGGTGCGGTCTGCTGCGGCTGAGAGGTTGCGGCAGTCTGGGGTGTGGGTCCTTCTTCGGGGATTTCCACAATCGTGGCATAGGGCATGGCAGCCGGTGCCGGTGCTAGTTTATACTCTTTTCGGAGTTTCTTCTTCGTCTGAGAGCGGTCAGCGACTCGCTTATCTTTCTTCTGGAAGAGGGGCTTCAGGCCGTTCTTCTTCCTTTCTGAATCTATATCCCGTTCCATGTCTCTGGATTCGGGAGTGGCGGCGAGAGTCAGGGTGGACGCCGTCCAATCTATGCTAGGGTTGTTGGCGA